GCTGGACCAAAGTGTTAGTGTGGGTAACAACAACCAAAAACGCCATCGGACATCTGCACGAATCAGTATTTTGTATTCTAGGAACGAATGGGTGTGAATGTTTTTCCTAAAAAGCCCTGAGCAACGGGCGGGAAGGAGCACGGCTAGCAGAGCCAACGCGTTAACAGGTGGATCAAAGCCAACTGTGACCTGCTCCGTTTCCCCTCCAGGGAAATCTGAGTGGATGTCATTCCTCGTAGGGCAGCTGTCAAGCTGTCAAGGCAGCGAACATGCTTGCACTGCTGGATCACTATGGAGTGTAAAGTCATGAGGAGGATGCACCTCGGGGCAGGCAGCGCCTACTGCAAGACACAACTTGACACAGGCCTATGGAGGGGTCGTTTGTGCCGATTAATGGCTCGTCTTTACGGTCTCAGACATGGAAAACATCCAAAAGCTACAATTATACAACTTGTCTGGAAATGAAAAAATTGGGATTTTATGCTTTTTTTGTCTATTTTATGTCCTTGCAAGCTGAATATATTTTGGTTTTGACGTGTTAGTCGGACACAACATCAACATGAAGACATCATTTAGGGCTTTGGTAACATAAAATGTGTGTTCTTCACAATTTCTTTACACTTTATAGCCTAAATGATTATCAACAAACAATCCTAATGAATGAAAATAGTCATGTGTTGCAGCATTACAACCCACATAACACACTAGCAACGTACCATATCTGATTTTGTGATTACTTTGTGACGTTACACTGCTGTGGTTGTTTCTAATTGTACTCCCTACAGGCTCTATTTTCATACTGTGGAAAGGACGCAGCCCTTCAGAGAACAAGCCGGCCTGTGTGTTTTAAATGCAAAACACACCCGTTCTATTTAAGTGTGCCAGTAAGCCAAACAAAACCAGTTCAATGGAATTCAGCACCATTATTTTTACTGCTAAATGTCAAAATGTCTTCTGAGAAACTCAACAACTGCAGTATGAGGTGGTTGTCATATTGCTTACACCTGGCTGTATGTGCTACAGTATGCCTCATTGCCTCGAGTTTCTCGATCCTGACGCATGCGTGCGAGCGCTAACACAAGCACGTGATTTTGCTTAACACGCAAGTGCAGAAAGCAGCACCTGCCCACCGAATTCAACCCTCACATATTCATCTGCGCTCGCGAATTAACGCCATGACAAATGAATGAAGTCTGGCCCCGACCCAGGCCGCCTCATTTTCATCACTCTGTGAAGCAGACGGGAGGCAGGTCCTGGAAATAGAAGATGGAGCAATCACTGGAAGGATTGCTGCAGGTGCACCCACAGTGTGGGGAACTTCAGGAGGTCCATCGGGCCGCAGCATGGAGCTAAAATCACAGGGGGGGGATATCCGGCGGACGTAACTCACACTGTGCTGTTATGACAATCAGTCTTTAGAGAAGGGAACAGGAACTATATATGGAGACGGTTGAGCCTCGTTTTTTTATTGTCGGTTAACGTTTTAAACGGTTAATTATCGGCATGCCTAATGTGTATCACGTCGTTGTCTTCAGATTTGACTGAGGTGTAACTCTGAGAAGGAGCACGAACTTTGACGCTGAATCTGGCGCTACGGGTTTATAAGTGCTGTGTCAGCAATTCACAAGCTCAACCGTTAGCTACTAAATAAGCAGACTAGATCAGCGGGCGACACAATAACTACCTTCTCCATTGCTTTTAGAACAGCAGCAATGCACTTTTACCTTTCACTACGTACAGTACCTTTGTCTCACAGTTTGAAAACCTCCACTTTAGAGCATCCCATGTCTGATCTTCACGGAAATATAAGCAGGAATTTACTAATTTGTTTCTGCAAAGATCAAACTGCAGCTTTTGTCAGATGCATGTCTCAATAGCAATATTTTGTGAGTCACTGCGTTGTCTTTTTTTTATGTTTTAGTGTGAATGTCCACATTGTGGGAAAGCACAGATGACTCAGAGGATAGTGCCATCAGTCAGTAAATCTTGTTAACAAAGAGAAGGGCAGGCTTGTATGTCAACAAGTATCCACCCATTTTAATTGATTAGTTCCTGGAATAGAGAACTAGCTGTTAAACCACCAACTGTTTAATTAACTTCTTGCTGCATCTAGTGTTGTAAATGTTTTCTTTCTTTTCCCACAAACTTCTGAGCCAGGGAAAGACTTTGTATAATAACCCACAATGCACCACACTTCCTTTACAGTTGTTGTGCTTCAGCTCACACAGCTTTGCTTTCCAACACCACCAACAGCGTTCAGTCCCTCAGAAAAATCAATACTCTGTGTGTTGAGGGATAAACCGACTTTGAAGGCAACACATTCATCCACTTAAGCCATTCCCACCTGAGAAAACAGCCCCATGTGACTGTAGCCTGTGTTTATTGTATTATCTGAGCTGCATAACAGATATGGCAGCGTGTCTCCTGAACTTTCCCCCACTGACTTATTTACCGAGAATTCACATGGCACCAAAACACGAGGATTATTTCATATAACTGTACCGCACACAACACGAGGGCGACTTCCACGGTTCCAGCAGGTACGGTTTCAACCCGCTGGAGCTGCTTTAATAATGTGTTGGCAACAGTGACTGGCTCAGCTCGGCCCCACAGAGATAATGTCACACGAGTTTATTTTGTTATTCTTGAAGCATGAAGCAAATGCTTCCCGTCTTGTTTTGCACCAGTATAAAAAACAATAACATAAACAAATCATAAGCTCATACCGCAGCGGTTAATACATTTTGCACATTTCTTTACAAAACTACCACTTCTAAAAACTGCACAGCTCTTCCATTTTTCAGATATATAATACTTTTCATATTCTACTGTATATTATTCTATATTTATGTTTCTTGATTTTTGCAATACTCACCTATATTATTTAGTATGTGAAAACAACCTACTTGGTAATAGATCCGATTCTGAATTTGTCAATCAAAAGGGCTAAACGTGCTGGTTCCATCTTCTCAAATATGAGGATGTGCTGCTTTTAGTCAGTGTAAACTGAATATCTTTTTGGTTTTTGGGATCGTTGGTTGAACAAAATGAGCGACTTTAAGACAACCCCTTGGTATTTACAGTCTTATGATGGCAATTTTTTACTATTTCCTGAACTTTTATAGGCAAACAATCACCCAAACGGAGATAAAATTGACAGATTAATTGTAATTAGTTGGAGCTCAACAGGATTACGCTTCCCACTAGAGCTCGGTGATATGGCCAAAATATTCTATCCCGATATATATATCACGATAAATGTTTTCTGCTAATTCCATGAATAAATACTCTATGTGAAATAACCACATGTTTGTTTTTATAATCCTGTGGCGATTAAATATAGGACAAAAGAAAAGTACTGATTATTTTCTCATCTTGTTAAGAACTTGAGTGCAAAATGATAATTTTGAAATTTGAGTCAGTATCTGCTTCTTAATATGAATAAAAATAATGTAAATTGGCTATTAAAGTTCCTGTACAATGACTTTTGTCTGTAATGTAAACCAGACAGAGTTCATCCCATTGAACATGAATTTGGATATTTTATGTTACTGTACACATGCTGATATCAGAAACGTACAGATATTCGGATATGGATATTCACTGGAGCAACATCAACCAGCCCTACGATGCTCTCAGTGGGGGTTGAATGGACATATGACAGATAGATAATCAATGGGTGGAAAAACATCAGAGTGGGGAAGTCTGTGTGTGTGTGTGTGTGTGTTTGAGTGCTCAATGGCACAGAAAGAGCAGAGAGGCCAGGTGATGGCGGCATTCAGAGGACGCCGTGTGCGTTCGAGAGATAACCTTCAACTTAAAACTCCCTCTGCCTTATCTGGAGCCGGTCGTGTAGCCGATGCCTACTTCACAAAAAAAGACATTTGGATGTCTGTTTCTTCCCTCTGATAATAACTGGACTGTTTGACGCCTCATAGCCGTCACACGGAGCATGTGGACGCGTTTCACTGAAACTGTGCTGCATTAAACAAACATGGGATTATTTATGGCTGAGGAAGCTGAGGGGTTATTTTCTTTACTGCTGCTAATGTATTGTCTGGAGTAGTGCTGAGTCATGAATAAAGCCGTAGATCTGGGACAACCATTTGACCTGTAGTCATTTCTGCCACAAGCACACAGTAGCCTTCAGCTGCTCACCCTGCAAATCAGCCCCTTCACACGTTAACTGAGCCTGCTGAGAATGCTTTTAAGATAAGAGCTGCAACAAAATCAAATAAGAGCTGAAACACTGAGTTGATCGATCAGTTAGTGGATTGAAACCGATGCACCTATTTTGACTCGTCGTTTTGTGTATTAATTTCTATTAAATTAAACAAAGGTGACATCTTCAAATTGCCTGTTTTGTCCAACCAACAATCCAAAACCTTGATTATATACAAGCAACAACAAAAAAGTCATATTTAAGAAGCTGATACCAACAAATGTTTGAGAGTTTGTCTATTTTAAGCCCTTTAAATTAAGTACATTTTGCATGATGCAAAAAGTCTCCTGCTTCCTCTAATACCTGCATGCATCATGCTGTTTATGATCCACCATGTCAGGTAATAAAAGGAGGGAGTGCCACTCGATTTACACGCCCACAGTGTGTTTGTGTGATTTACAAACCCGAATTAAGTGTCAGAGTGTATCATAAACTCCTGGTTCAATGTCAACATCCGAACAAGAAATCCTGCAGATCAAGAAGTGAGAACCGACAGTGGTGTTGGGGTGAAATGAGCAAACTATCCCTGTCACAGTGAAATGGACTGTTTTTATTATGTGGGCTGAGCAGCTCCCCGGATCTCTGTCACTGTGTTAAAGATGTATGATGCAAAACACCACGGGACAACAAGACCTCGACCTGACTCAAGAGTTGCATAACAGAGGATGTCCAGCGTGATCAGAGGGGGCAACCTTATTAGTTCCTGACCAACGAGCAATTTGCATGTAAAGGAAACACACACACACACACACACACACACACACAAATCAGAACCAACCTGCTCTTTCCGTTTCTGCCAGCGGCCGCACGGGCTCTCCTCCAAGATCTCGCTCTCATCCTCGCTCTCCTCCTCCTTCCCCTCCGATCCTGATTTCCTCTCCGGGACGGACATCGTCATTTTTTAACCACCGTGTATTTCCAGATTAACCAGAACAACCCCCCCCCAAAAAAAGACCTCCTCTGTGCGTAATGGAGCCAAACGCGGCGGTAGCGCAGAGACGGTCCGCCGCTTGTATGCGCAGTGAAGAACCCCACACACACACACCTCCTCCACCTCCTCCTACACCTCCTCCTCCACGACAACAGCAGCCGCTCTTCAGCCTTTGCGCTCAAAACATGTTGCAGAGAAAAACTGACACTGCTTTTAAACACAGCAACCCCAGCAACCCCTCCTTCAGATAACAACTAGTCTACACTAGGCTACACATTGCAAGGTCGCTGGTCTCCAATGAACATGGAGGAGAAATCAATCCCAGACTTCATGCATGCGGAATAGGTTGCGAAATGAGGGGGGGGGGGTCAGATTGTCTGTCTGTTCCCACTGAAGCACCGCGGGAGTGGAAGCTCGGTCGGCGGCGAAGCGAAATGATCCCCGGATGAGTCCACTGCGGTCATCGCTCGCCTCAGATAAATCGGCTGTTGTATTGTTTTTTGTCTTGAATTGTTCGACCGTCTTCCACGCGCGTCACTCAAGTGTTTGTCGGATCCTGCAGCCGCGAGCTGCCGCCACACGAGCACGGTGGTGCGCAGAGAGAGAGAGAGAGAGAGAGAGAGAGAGATGGAGCGCAATACCGTAAAGTCTCCTGTACATGCGCACAGTGTATTTTCAGACGGGTCTTCTGTCTGATTGAAGCCGCGATGTCGAACGGGAACGCCCACGTAGAAATCGTTGGTTTACGTAAAACGGGAACGCCCACGTGGGCGTTCCCGGAGATGACGTGACTCCAATGGACCGCTCACTCCAATGGACCTTTTTTTGTTTTTTTTACAGCAATGGCGGCTCATGGAGCCAACTCAATCTGAAGCGAGAACATTTTTTTTAATGGAGGGGCAGACTGGGGCACAGTTTCAAAGGAAGATATATGCAATTTATAGTTTATTATATTTTAAATATGTAATATATATATTTATATATATATATATATAGTTCTTACAGTAACACAATCTTGCACATATTTTCTCTTTTAAAATACTCCTGAAACAGTAATAATATACTTGTTTTAACGTACTGTTATTTGTTTGTTTGTTTACCATATTTTATTGAAAATATTTTTAAATAATGTCTCATGTGTGTTTATTGTTATGCACCATTCACCTAGCCAAATTCCTTGTGTAACACTTGGCAAGAAACAGTTCTGATTAAATTTTATTTCACATTATATTTCTTGTCTTGGCATGTGCAGGTCCCATGTTGGTTTGAATTTATGTCCATCGTTTTGGTTTTCTTCTTTTCTGTTTTGTGAATATTTGGACTTATGTAGTTTATTTATGACAGCATAAACACATACCAACTAAATCTGGTTTCAGACCCAGAGCTTAGCAATAGTCCCCCCAAACCAGAACAGGGCAGAAGGCTGTGTAATATGTTAATACGAAGAGAAAGGGCCTTTGTTCCTTAATAAGGAGGCCCTGTGTTCTAAGAGGCTTTCATTAACGCTCAGCAAACCTTCATGGCACAAATACAAAAAGCATTGCCCTACATACATTTAAACAATGTAGCCTACAAATAAATAATAAAGCCTAATATATGTGTAGAAAAATAGAAGGATTGCCTCCGACCCTCAGCTGCTCCCAAAGGCCCAAATTCACTGCATCATCACCATTTTATTTATTTAAAAGAAGGTTATATAATATCAGACCAGGTGGGTTGTGCAGCTTAGTCTTGTAGCGGGGTCACATAGTTAAGACTTTAAGTATTTTATATCCATAAATAAAGTTGTGTTTAATCAAATTACCACAAACTAATTCAAACATGGAAAACTTGGGGCCACGGCAGTATTTATTCAGTAGGAGTGCTGTCCTTTGGGCATATGATGAAGCTGTCATGTCTGCTGCGTGAACTGTACTTGATAAGAACATGGAGACGAGGCGATGCAAAATACAGAATACACAAAAGAGAGGGGGGGGGGGGTTCCTCCTGGTGTCTGTTCTCCTTTCTGTAGTTTTTTCTCTGTAGAAAAAGAGAAATGTGGAGAAGAAAGTTGCCTCATTGACAGAGGTATCAGCATCTTAAAGATAAATCAATCAACGAACAATAACTCTTGTGTTCTGTTCAATGCTGTTCCATGTAACCACAGACAGGTACATTCATGCAAGGTGGGTCATAGATGTGGATACGGAGACTACGGTTGGATTAGTGTGACATCATGTGGTGCCTTGATGCAGTTGCAATAACGTCTTTCATTCCGCTTCCTTTCAGTTTTTAAGACTCATTGGCGTCACATGCTTGTTGTTTTCTAATGTACACAGACAAATGTTTGAACAACAAAAATGTCACCTTCATTCTCAGGTTCTTTAATCTCTTATATCAGTAATTTCTTCTTTAATTTGGTACCAAATACATGATATAACAGTTAGTTCACGCGCTGATTAATTCAACTCAATACCAAAATGGAGTTGGGTTGTTGGTGTTAGATCAGAGGGAATTGTGTAGATTACTTGATGTTGTTGTAGTTCAGATATTAGACCAGCTGACACTCACCTCGCTACAACTACCAGTGCTCTTTATCAAGATATTTGCAAGTAGACCTGTTATCAATTGGGCAAAAATACAAGAAAAAAGAAAAAAAGAACAAAGAAAAACAGATTTATACATTTTGAAGGTGTGCTTTTATTTGATTCCACTTTACACAGCAGGCAGGTTCATTGTGATTCACGCTGACTTCCAGAGATGACTTTCACTTGCAAATCATTCAAATTCAAAAACTTTGTGATGTCATGTTAAAACATCGTTTAAAGGCGGAGCTAAGGTCATTTTCATACATGTTCATGCCATGGTCTGAGACAGTCCAAACATATTATTGGACATAAACAACTCTCCCCAATCCCAAAACTACAGAGCTAAAACTCAGAGGTCATCATGCATAAACGGCTCCAGAGTAGCTTGTTGTTGATTAAACTTTCCTACGCCATGGATACAACATATTAGAGCTGATATTAGTTCTGATATGGTACATGACCTAATCAGATATGTCTGTCTCTCAAGCACAGCCAGCAGCTACTAAACCTCTGACCTGAAGGGTCACCAAGCCCTCTGATCATGCCAACTTTAACACATTGTGAAAGGGTTAAAGTTCTAATGCTTATGTTCCCACTACAAGCGACAAAAGCAACAAAATGTCCTCTGAGTCACCGCTGTACTGTTGCTCAAGCACTGTTGGATGTGTGTCGTTAAATAGCACTGGGAACTGGCTGGCGACATTGTTTTCAGATAGAATAGAACAGGTTGAACCAAAAAAATATGATTGGTTGACAAAGGTGTGACTGTGCCTTTTTCCTGAGAACCTACTGCCCCTGGCCTGTTTGTTAGGTACACCCATATAATCTAATGCAATCCAGTTAACAGCTCTGACACATATTCTTCCTCTACCAAGCTTCACCCGAGTCATATGGACGGTATGGACATGTACCAATATTTTGGGAGAACAGAATTGTCCTTTTGTTCAACTTTAAGTGCAAGAAGTGAAATTCTCTAAATTTGTCTACACCTTATCCTGGGGTGGAGAGAGACGGGGGACATAGAGGGGAGTGACACGGCCTTCTTTTTCTTCTGAGAACTGGATTTTCTCTCATGACTCCAAAAAACATGCAAACGTTTGGTTTTCTCTGACAAAGGCACGATCTGAGCTCGCACGGTATGCAAGACCTGTGCTGAAGATCTGACTCCAGCTTGGTGTGCACTCTCTCAGCGCCGCTCTCTGGACTCACACACCGTCCCTTCACGATGGAAAACAAACTGTTATCACTTCATGCTGTCATTTAGCAATCACTCTGTTTTACTACTAATTTCTGACATTAACACAACTCTTATTTGTTTTTGTTGTTTTCGTTTAGTTGTCTAAACTATCGTGTCTTAATTAAACAGACAGGAAATCTAAATATTAAATAGCAACAAGTGGTATTACTATATGATTTTATTTGGGGACTAAGACATCGCTGTCAGGGTTGGTTACACAGGACAAGATGGATTGAACCCAAATGCAGACATTGAAGGCAGCAGGATGATTTCATGGATCTACTGAAGATTACTTCAAGAGTCAGTAGATCCAGCAGCAAGGTCACAACAAACAGCATTGAAACGATGATGGTCGCACGAGGGACAAACGGAGGTGATTGGAGAGTAGCTGATGAAGTGAATGAGATGCAGGTGAGGAGGTGGGAGAGGACGTCAGGTGAGCAGGACCGGAGAGAGAGAGTCTGAGGACATCTGGTGGATGGTCAGAGGATGGCAGGTCTGGGGAGTGAGAGGAGGGTTCATGGCCTGGAGGAAGTGAGCAGGAGATGGGGACAGAGAGCAAAACTACAAAGAGACGAGAAAGTCCTGTTGACAATTAATGTTTGTCCATTTATTATCTAGATTAAACCTGATTTTATTATGTGAAACTATTGTCTTTTATTACCTTTTCATTGTTTTTAAAAGAACCACTGTCTCAAACTCAACATGTACATTTAAGGAAGTGTTTGCATGAGTGTATGTGTGTATGATCTATGTTCTATGTGGACATGTGACGCTGTTGGCAAGTTTGTTGTGTGATGCAGCAGCTTGGAGCCCAAGACACATTTCCCCCGCCGGACAATAAAGTTAATTTGATCCTATTTTCATCATTTCTTTTAGCATAATGGAATAAAGACATGCTTGACTCTAAGCTCTGACAGTAAAAACCAGTAAATAATTTCTGACTTTAACACAACTCTTATTTCAACTCACTTTCCATGTTTTAGTTGTTTTGAGTTCATCACAAATGTGGCTAAAATCACACAGTGTATCGATTCATTATGTTAAACTTTCACTCTGTTTTAAGTCAAAGAGTTGTTTGTTCTGAGATTAAGCTGAGATGCAGAGACACACTTTACCCTGATCATCGCCCTCTACAAAGAGAAGCAAGAAACTCATTTATGGATTGTGAAAAACATCTTTTATTTGATTCCAGATTACACAGAAGGAAGGTTTACTGGTAACTCAATCTGACTGTAGAACATGATGTTCACATACAATGAATCACTTCATGCCTCTGCTTTGATCAGAGTTCCAAATCTCGTCACTTTCCCTGTTCAACGTCAGTTTTCCTTCATTGGTCAGGTAAAGGCGGCACATGTTAGCTTCGGGTTTGGAGGTGTTTGTTTGCCACTTGGGTTCGTCACTCTTGTTGTACATGACCAGGTTGCAGTCAGCCTGCATGCACAGGCGGATAGCGTCTGATCCGCAAGTGTCTGAAGCCCACACAGGCTTCCAGCCATAGATGACAAAGTTACCATCATCCTGCAGGAGGGAAAAAGAGACATTTGACTGTTATCAGAATCATGTACTTTTACACAGACCAGAGCTCATGCATCACGCACCATGATAAGTGTCTGGAGCGCACAAATATTCAGAGTTACTCACCTGGAAGACAGCCTTCCACTCCCCGTTGTTGGACATCAGAGTGTCTCCCTTGCGGAGCTCATCATTTTTGGACAAGTAGTTCTTACTCATGATTCTGCAACAAAAAGAAAGTCTCTTGTTTCCATGTAAAACTCTGAAAATACTTTAACATTTGTTCTGTTGGTTGGTTTGCCATTTCATTTGTGCAACACCAGTGGTATTTTTTTTTTTTGACTGAATCGTAGTTATTTTCACATTTTTACATACATTTTTACAAGTATTGTGCACCAATTATAAAATGAATTGCAACAGCACCGATTTAACAGTCATTTAATGACTCCATGCATCAAACACAGAAATGTATTAATCTATCCATCAGAGTAAAAGTAAAGAACACTTACAGCGTTGAAGGTCCAGTCAGACTGCAAGCAGAGCAAAATGAGTGAAGTGCAAGAAGAGAAATTCACTCCATTTATATACATCTGAGCTGGGGGAGGAGAGAGACGGAGGACAGAGAGGGGAGTAAAAATACTCATCTTCCTCCCATCCGAGTACAAAGCGACACTCCCCTCCCAAGCAGAATACAGTGTGGAGTGTATGATGTAAAATATAGTGTATGGAGAGCTTTGGTCTCGAACAAGCCCACACACAACACATTTGATTTACTAGTTTCCCCTTTTGGCAGTAAATTCCACAGACTGCACCCCTTTTATCACGAGCTTTTCTCGTGATAAAAGACATGACAGGAGACACTTTAACTAAAATACAAAACACACACACAGGACAGTCACTTTTGAAGAGAAATGTCAAGCTTGCACATGCTTGACATTTTGCTTTTCATAATTACAAGCTACGTTAGGAAGTATGTTGCCAGGTACGAGACTTTCACAGAGTTTAACAACGATATTCAATCAGTAAACAGCCCTCGAGTGAGAGGTGTGTTAAGGTTGATTTATATTATTTTTTTTGTAATTGCAAACAAGGCTCTCTGTCGCTCTCCACTTGCCAACATAATATTGTTGCAGCTGGTTGAGGTGAAGCTAAATTGACCTGCATGCAATCCAACACAACAGTCCTGCCATCTCAGTTCAGTTGCTGTGTTCATAAATGATGATGTGTTATTACATTAGCCCCAAATTTACAAGCTGCAACATTTAAGTCATGTACAATCGTTGGACGGTCTCATGCCCTCGAGTACTGAATGAGAGTGAGCGTGACCCCAGTTGGGCGGATATCTATGAGGAGGAATTCAGGGGATAAAGAATCTGAATCTCTCACAAGTCTACAGAAAACATTAATGAAACCTTTTTCTTCTTCTTTTCTTTATTACAGAATGTTATAACTGTAATACATTGACTTTACGGGCAAAATGTAACTAATGTGTCACAGCAGAGAGGAGCTTAAAGTGAGAGTTACATAAACATTTAGCATGTGGAGATTTGCTGCTTTTGTATTTTCATATTATACGCCTGCATTTCAACTTCACCTCACTATAGTGAAATAAGCATGCAACACGTGAGGTGCAGATTATTTGGCTACTTTGTTATGCAATATCTTATTTCGTGTTACATTTTAATTTTTGGGCATAGACACAGCCAGCAGCGTAGGAGCTCCACTGTTGTAATTCATTTTTTTGCAGTGCTCCATCCTGGTTGTCCTCATGTCCTGAAACAAGAGCGTAAACACATTCAGATGTCTGTTCAGCCATCGTTTGTATGTGAGGAAGCAACACATAGACTGCAATCATTTCAAGTACACAGTCTCTTGATGTAAATACATCAAGAGAAGTTGAAAATGAACTATAAAATATATAAAACAACCCCGGGCACCACCCTGATGAAGGCAAGATGGCCAAAACATATGATGAGAGAATAAAGCATGGAGAAAAGTGGAAAAGTGTTTTAATTAATTTTTTTAACAAACAAAAAACAGCTGCAAGTGATGGGAACAATTTGAAAGATTTCATAATCACATAAAAACTACTCATAGGGGCGTAAAGGTGTAATAAAAAGCTAAAAGCACAAACAGCTTCAGTGTTTTGCACAGAATCTTTCAGAGGAGATAAAACACAGGACTTGAATAATACCTCTGTGAGTCTCGGTTTCTGGATGCAGTGAATGTACGGCTTGGGGAACGACTCAATCTGGTCTGCTGCTGTTTTATAGCAAACTGCGCAGTTAATCAGCGGCTGCGGAGTCATTCAAAAACAAAGCATCAAGATGTTGTACACTGATTTGAAATGAATCCTTCCCTTTGTGAAATGCACTCACTCTGTCATTCCTGAAGGGGCATGCCTGAGCGTTCGACACAGTCGATCCTTTGGCACACCTGGTGGGTTTCAGGTAAAAGTGGTGGTAGAGGTATTTCACACCGAATCCAGACTGGAAAAGAGCAGAAGGTCATTTTATTTTTTTAGTGAGAAACAACAAGTTCAAACAATCAAGGCCTCTTTACAGGAATGCTTCTCCAGAAAATATATCAAATAAAGAAATGTTAGATATAAAAACAGGAATAACATTAAAATTACAAAAACACCAGAATAACAGCAGAGTTATCTCAAATGAACTTAAAGCTTTCAAGTAAAGAAAACAACTTAACAGCGTTCTTGTCTTTAGCATGTCTCAGTGACTTACTTATGAGCTTTAACTCATTCTTCCAATGGTTCAAATTGGGTTTAGTCTTAAAGTATCATTGATGTATAAGTTACGTCAAAATTAAACATCAGTCTTGTGAATTTGCTTGTTGGGCAAATGTCATTGAAAAAGCAAAGTAAAGTCCTGCTTTGCTCCTGTTTTAACTACTCAAACACTTGAGGACTTTGTCACTTGAAAGTAAACATTTGTCGTGTTGGGTCAACGACTGAGAGTCTCAAAAAGTCAGGTGACACTTAGACACTTTAATACAGACATATCTTAACGTACTCTTATATTATTTGCTTGTTTATCTTATTTTATTTTGAATTAGAAAAGTTATTCAACGGTTAATAAAAGGTCGGAAAGCCATCTGCACACTGAAGCAAACATATAGACCCGCAGAAAGTCATGATGCCTGGTTTCAAATCTAGAGAGGGATAGTTTCTGCTGTGGATATCAGCTCATATTCATCTTGGGTGGTTATATAATCTTCTGGGACCTGATAAGTTAAAAAATGATTGCTGATTTGTAGCAATCTAAATAATGGGACTTTTCCCTGAAACCATTCAAAAAGAACCATAAACTCTACCATTCACACGGATAGATATCAGAGTACGAGGTTGATGGACGGCAGGGATGTGTGTATCGTTACCATTAATCTGTACACCGTGTCTAACACGACAGCAAAGACACGCCTTATCTTTCGGCAAACATTCTGAAAACATGTTGGAATTTGAATATCTCCAGTAAAGCAGATATGAAAACAAGTGTGAACCAGAATTGCCTGAGGGAAGAGTGAGAGTGGCAAAAACTCTGAAAAGCAGATTGAAGAAGTAAAGCAAAGTGAGGTTTTTTCATTCTCTCCTAACGACTTTCATGAGAACATTTGTTAAAAATCAGCATGTCATGTCTGTAAATGTTCGAACAGAGACAGTTCAACAAACAGAGATACCCATCTTAACATTTTTAGACCAATAATTGACAAAAAACCTGAAATGTTAAACTCCAGGTCTACCTCGATATCCGACTTGTCCAGTGTTCTCAAGAAGCGAAAATGGTGGTGCACCCCGGGGTGCACCTTGAGTTCCTCCAACGCCAGATCCACTCCCTTCTTGTAATCATCAGGGAGCCCATCATAAGAGTCCTGGGCCTGGGCAGAGTACAGAACAGCTCCGGCACAAACCAGCAGCAGCAACCCAGCAGCCATCTTCATCGTCGAGTGTGTGAGGAGAGCGTGGGTGAACTCCTCCTCTATCTCTATCTCTCTGTGGGATCAATACTAACATGCAACAACAAGTCCTATTATGGCTGCGGAACCAAAAACGCTGACCATCAACAGGCCGCACAGACTTTACTTACAACTTCCCGTAACACGTCTGGGGAAAATCTGGAGTTAACTCAACACATCCTCTGTATAGTTTCCACAGAAGAAGCTGCTTGGAAGAAGTGAAATTACACTCATATCCTTCAGTGTTTTTTTTACAATGGAGACTTACATAATCCTTAATCCTGGAAACAAGCCCAGCATGTCATGAAACGCATTTGGCCCCAAGACCAATAGGCAGTGATCAGTGGGGGAATTAACTCTTTCGGTTCTGCTTCATCGGCTCCATTGCTGTTGAATTAAGAGGGAAGTAGGTCACTTCTAAGAAATGTGAGGTTTTCACTTTGAATTCACTTGACGGGGTTGTTAATGAAATTGACTAAGCAGTGAGTACTCTTCACCATTTTTGCGTCACACACGCGGTCATCATACGATGCTTTTTTGTTTCTAACTGTTGTAGCCTGTCGAGGTGGAGCTAGTTTGAACTTTTTTGTAAGTTTACTAGAGGTCGGGCCCCTCCACAGGGTCACAGTATAAACATGAGTTGTGAGACGATTAATGGTAAACAAATCTGTAAGGATTCTTTTGACTTGAACTTGTGCTTTTTGCCGAGTGTACCGGACACTATTTAAGATGAATTCTGTTCAATTAAAAGCAAAACAAAAACAAATTCCATCACGATGCTACAACCGACATTGTGGGTGAACTACTCATTTATCGTGGGTATTAGTTTTGTTGCACCTGTATCATTCTTTGTGTCATTCTAGTTGCATATTTTCTTTTGGGCCTTTTTACGGGATTTTTTAACAAAAAGAAAAATATAGAAAATCACCAGCCTTCTCCTTTGAAATACTGACCTTAGTCAAATTAGGTCAAGAACGCTCATTCATACTAATAGTGTATGCATTTAAAAAAAAGACGTTTAAAAAAAAACTTTATTGAAAAATTTGTTACACAAAGTTAAACTAAATTCCAACATATTTGCATAGAAGTAAACAATAAATTGCCGACATAAAAATTTCACTCAAATGTCAAAAAAACTACAGGAAGAAAACTTATGAGGTGGTGAGCACATTAAAAAAAGCACAAAGAAACCCTGAAAGTGTCCCAATAGATGCTTGTTTGAAAAAAGGAGATGCACTTATGACTTCTGGTAACTAGTAGTTCTCTTGAAAACCGATGTTGAATACATTTATTGCAAGTCGCTTTGGATAAAAGCGTCTGCTAAATGACTGTAATGTAATGTAATGGAGTCATCCAAGTATTCACTTTGTTCCCGTTAATGCCAGAAGAGTTGGGGCTCCACTGCTGTAACCCATTGCGTTGCAGTGATCCACTCTGACCGTCTTCATGTCCTGCCATTCACAACAAAAGGTGGAAAAAATGTCAGGAACAATCATGACTTTATATTCAGTTTTTCAGTGTGGTTTTGTCATAAAGAAAGACAGACTAACCTCTGTAAGAGCTGGTTTGTGGACACAGTGAACATACGGTATGGGCTCCTGTTCAATTTCCCCTCCAAACGTTTTGTAACAGACAGCACAGTCTATCAGCGGCTGCATGAACGCACACGCACAAAACAGCACAGACGAGTCAGAGCAGGCATTCGCACTCAAGTTCCGGAAACTTCTGACTTCGGTTGAATCCGATAAAACTTACTCTGTCATTTCTGAACTGACACGATGTGGCGTCGACCGTTCCTTTTTGACACTTTGTGGCCTTGAGGCAGAAGTTGTGGTAGATGTAGGTCACATCAAAACCAGGCTGGAGGGGAAGAAGAGGAAGAGGATAAGATTTGAGCAATTCTCAACCAGCCTCGAGGAGTTTTCTTTGAAACAATCCTCACATTCTTTGATGACTAGAGCTTCTCTGGAGGATTTTACTCACAATAAATCACAGGAAGCCACTCACTAATGAGCCACAGCACAGCAAAAGATATATTCTGACAATGAAAAACACATGTACCTCAATGTCTGACTTTGTGATACTTCTGAGGAAGAGAAAATGGTGATGGATCCCAGGGTGAGCCTTGAGCTTCTCCAGAGCCAGATCCACTCCTTTCCTGTAGGTTTCAGGGAGGTTATCGTAAGCCTCCTGTGCATTAGAGTACAGGAAGAAGGCTCCGACGCTGAAGAGCAGCAATAACGACGCAGCCATCTTTCTCCCCTGTGTCTGCAACAATGGGAGCGAGAGGATTGTGCAACCGCCCCCCTCCCTCCCTCCTCTCAGTGTTGTTTTCCTGAACATCCAGCCCTCCTTTCCCCGGGGACAGAACAGTCTGGAAACACAGAACATTACTTCTTTCTCCTCGACTGTCTGTATTTGATAATGTTTCTTTACAGCAGATTTCAACGTGATCATTTTAGTATGGCGGCCCTGAGGGCTCGATGCACTGCAATTTAGAAAACACATGCAGATAGATGGAACTAAAGACTTTTGTTTTGGGGATTTATTGGATAAATCCACCTTTTTGGGGACGTAAAAATGAAACCATGAGAATTTTTATAGGAAATCTGCAAACACACAGTAGATATCCAAAATGTGACAGGAGAGACACTTCTTTTCTCGTACCTTATCATTTGAAGGATTATTAAATGCCAGAAGAGGTCAAATAATCCAGTATTTCACACAAACAAATATAGAAAAGTCTGAAATGTTAATGTGACCAAGTTGTTTCATCTGGGGACCCCCAGGTAGGGAACCACTTATCTAAGTAATGTCAAAGTTTGCGTGACAAGCTTTTATTGCTTTTCTCATAAAGCAGAAAAGGTTTCAAAAGTTCCTGCGTGGCTGGGTCAACCCGTTAGGAGGCTCCGGGGCTAAAACACGATGAACCTAGATCATTTTTTACGGAGGAGAGCTGGTTGATAATCTGTTGAGTATTTTAAAGTAGGAACCCTGAGAGCTCGTTGTTTTTTGTATTTATAGGTTGTTTTTTTGCATCATGTCTCTGTATTGTGTTGCATTTTCTAACTTTGCTGCGCTTCGATACACAAAAAAAAACACATGACAAAACAGCCAGGATAAATAGAAAATAACTTTTATGCGTCATCAATATTTCAACCTTTAATGTACAAGCGAACATCAGCAATAGCCTCTCAGACCGTCTATTGCTTTTTGAAATGGGACAAAATATCGTATCGGCATTTCGCAACATTGACAGATACATTGGCATACACAGACCAACTTCACTCCATCCACAGGCACACGAAGCAAATATAAAACAGACACTGCCAACTTCTCATCAACATCCCCTTCATTATTCACGGACACGATGCAGCCAAATATGCGTCTGTGTGTACATTAAAAACAAAGCGACAAAAGCAGCAATAATGCCTCATATTGCAACAGATAAATAATGGAGAGATGTTTGATTTTTGAGCATCTTCGAAAGTGCAAACTATCGTAACGTGCGTCGTCCTGACAAACACGACGAACACTTGTAGCTGATCACTTCGTGGTCCCGGAGGCACTTGAGATTTTGTGCGCCTTTCTGACACCAAACAGGCACAAGATCACACCGGCAGCTGAGAGGGGAGAGTAGTGGAATACACACTTGAGAGTAACCGAGGACTGAACATTATTTGACACAGTCAAAGCTTTAACCAATCCATGTCACACTGATACAACATGACATAAAACAAAACAAAAATACACACACATATATATATATATATTTTAAAAAGCCTTCGGTCTCAGTATGCATCAATGCATGAATATTGAGATTGTCCACACAGCTTGTGTGTAAATTTGGTCGACCAAGTTTACGAGTGCCAATGAAATGTTTGAATTAGTTGATGCCAAAATATATAGAGCAACGTTATGATTAAAAAAAAAAAAAGGAATGTTGTACTTCGAAATGTTAATTTAGGCTCCTTCAAGAAAAACATCGTTACAGGAGGAGATGTGAGATGGCTGAACTGCAGCTTATTGTTCTGATCACAAAACTATTTACACGAGACATTTGGCACTTGGACAAAGAAACCAATAAATTACAGCGTTTCCCAAAAACACAGCAAGTGAAACAAACTCTACATTGATACATTAGTGCCCTAAACATGTGCGTGGAGACATTTAGAGTGTGTGTGTGTATATGTATATATATATATATATATACACACACATATATACATACATGCATACATACATATAGCTACTGTGTTAATCTTCTGTTCGGGTTAGAAATATGTTTTCATGTCATTAGATCTCCCAAGAAATCCCAACTGTCACCTAAACTGCAACGGTTGAGTCGTCCAAAAAAAAAAAAAAAAACCAAGGACAAGCTAAAAATCAATCAGATAGTTGTATAAGAAACAAACTAAAGCAACATTGATATTTAAGGGATGAAAGAGGATGCGAAGAAGATACAATTATTACATAAAATACAGTCATTGTTCAGATTTGGTGTCTTAAAAAAAGTGCCACGAGCCTAGGGAGGCGGATAAAGTGATCAGCCGTCTAAAATAAGACAGAATGAGGGGAAATAACACCTCGGTATACCTTTTTGTCGTTCCTTCATAAGGCGCTTTGTGAGTTTAAAACATTAACAAAAGCAACAAACTTGAATAGATGGTGTTAATATGAAAGACCATCTCCCATACTTCCCTCCACATATTCAATGTGAATCAGAGCAACCTTTCAGGGCTAAAACTTCATCAGTCTTGCAAATCTATCTACTGTAATCACATTTAATTTCGAGCTCGAGATCATTTGATTTGGAATCTCTCGTCCCCTGAAATATATATTTTTAAAAAGCATATTATGTGCGAACACATGCTGTCGACCGGTTTTTAATCTGCCCGGTCGGATGCTGTTAACCAGCACAAAATCCCCCCAACAGTCTGATAAAAAGCTACTTAAACAGTTGGACCGAAGCAACAACCAACCAGACCGCCGTCATATTGTACGTTCATGTCTCGGTGATGATGAAGAGGGTGCACAGTGACGTGGCATTAAATTGTGAATGTTTCAAGTTTGAAGGATGTCATTGGTTGGTAGAGTGAGTCAGAAGATGTTTTGGTGTTCACGTAGAGGAGTTGGGTGGCGACGTGAGGGGTCGTTGCGGGTTACACAGGCATGTGCATCTCAGAGTACTCATCGTGACACTCGCGCTCATCAAACTTGGGCTCTGCGTCGTCTGCATCCAGCTGGAGGAGGGAGAAGACGCATCAGGATTCAGGATTTTGGAGCATTAAGCTTCGGCAAATTTCACATTTGATACGAAACATTTTCTTAAAAGGTTACACTCTGTATGAGGCATCATGAATATATTTTGTTCCTTGATGTAATCTGTGTAGTTAGTCATCAAAGCAACATTTCTGCATCTTTGCTACTAAAGAGATATCCTACATTTCCCAGAATGCCTTATAAGTAAGCTTGTTGACAGTGGAAATGTTTTGTATCTTTATTGTCAGAAGTCACATCAACAGAGGAAAAGGGGGAATTACATATAAAGATAACCAAAAAAAACATAAATACAACCAAACTATATAATCTCATCTTTTGGGGAGGGAGGGTTTTATTCCTTAGCTTCATGCTATATTCTACAATCACAAATATTCCACTAAATCTTTCCAAAGTTTCAGCATAAGAAGTATAGAATATGATTGTGAAACGATTAGCAATGTCAGTGCCAATCAGGAGTTTTAACTTCAACTCCGCTGGTGAATAAGGCAGTGGTGCGGGGGTATAAAGCAGCATATTGCGCCATCCTGTGGTCAACTTACACATGAAATCTCTCTGGCGGTGAAGATGCGGCGCAGCAGGAACATCTTGACAGGGATGGTGAGGATGAGGACGAAGGGGAAAGCCAGCGAGGCCTGAGTGGACATAACGGCCCACAGAGCCGCCAGACACACCACCTGGATGATGGTGAACAGATGCATGCGCAGCGTGCGGACCTGCAGGAAGCAGAGATCGTTCATAAAAACTCTCCAGCACCAGTGTGAGACCAGATAAAAATTACGTTTTTTGTGAGAAACGATTGATTTTTGTGGTTCCCAATACAAACAGTTAAAAAACAGACGCTTACAAGAGCTGAAATGATTTGTTGATTGATTAAGTTACTTATGAAGTAAAAATGTCAACCACAACAGAATTTACCGTTTCTTTAATCACCGTAACTTGAATACCTTTGGCTATTGGCATTGGAATTCCTCAAATTAATAACTTAATTACTGTTGGTTGTTGCTGGAAGAGCATCTCTACCCTTTTTATATTTTAGAACCTTTAGAACTCCTATGACTAGTGTGATTTTAATTAGATTCAGTTATTATTTCCATTGCTTTATGTGAAAACATGCTCAGCCTACATTACAAACAACCACGCTCTTCTTACCTTGCGTACGTAGGTGTGGTCAGGGTGATACTTTGGTGGCATAAGCAGCAGCATCATCCGCTCTGTTAGCTGGATACCATTGAGGGACATCACACCCATGTAGAGGAAGATACCAAACAGCACCGCCAGGGGGATCCGGCTCAGCAGGTCACCGATCACAATGGACATACCTGGGGGAGGGGGAGGTGGGGGGGGGGGGAAGAAATGGGAAATTAAATGCTAAATGTCCCTTTTTCCCCCCAACAGATATTGGCTTCAACTAGTGGAAAGAGCAGTGATTAGATTTCAATGTCCGACACTCACCAACCATGATGGCCACCAGGAGCCCGGTGACCCTCTGCTCCTTCACCTCCTGGATGCGGGGCTTGTCTCCGGGGGCCACGGCCTTGCTCATGACAGTGAGGGCGTTGACGTGGGTCACCGAGCGAACGGTCGCGGCGGCCATCCACGGCAGGCCGAACAGAGCCGAGCAGCCGCCCAGCACCACGATCAGCAGCAAGTCCAGATGGAAACCAGAGCCCTTCACCAGCATCCGCTCCTTCTTACTCACGATCAGGCTGCAGGGAGTCGGGGAGCAACAACAGATGTCAACAGACTGAGCAATGCACGTTAATACTTCAAGATCCCGTTATATCGGTTTCAGGCTGTACCGTAGAGATTAGTCAAACTCAATCACAACAAACTGACTCTTGAAATGTCACATCGTCGAGTAATTCTGATGATAATCCTTTTTAATGCGACTTGTAACTCACGTGGTGATCTGAGTCTCCATGAAGATGAGGATGAAAACCAGCAGAGCGGGCAGACAGCAGGCAAACATCATCCAGACGGGGAATTCTCCGTTGGTCCCCAGAGGACTGATGATCCAGCCGCGCTCGGAAGGAGTCGTCACAGAGAAACCACGAGGAACGCTCAGTTTCTACACGACGACAGAAAAGAACAAGATGATGATGATTGTCTGCGTTGTTGTGAATTTTAAGCTGCCAAAAGTCAAACATTTATAAAACATAAGAGTGGTAGTGTTTCAGTGTTACCTGTGTGAAAGTGTCATCTATACTGTAATCCACCAGCACCATGATGAGGATGGCAATCGGGACGCCAAAATCTCCAATAATCCTGCGCAACTTAACACATAAGATGTGATAGTTTGAGCACAACTGTCAGCTTCACGTACCACATCCAAGAATAAATAAAAAAAGATTTAGATACTGTGACTGCACAATGACTGGAAACACCTAGCACATCTCAAGCTCACTAATCAACACCTTATATTTCGTTTTTGCTTTGCTGAGCGTTTCCCATCATGTGAAAAATAAAGGAAGTTTAACATGACAACTGGGCAAACAAGGTTCATGCAAGCTTAAAGAAAGATGTAGGTTACATATTTAGGGGTTGATATTGGGAGAACTGGTGTTTTTAAAGTTAAAGTTAACTTAGCTCCTCACCCTTCCAGGGAAGAACGCACTGTTCTTGAACTTGCGCAGGTAGAAAGCGATGAAAAAGGTTCCGGCCATGAGAACCAGAGAGAGCAGCGCGGTGTTGGGCTGGTTTAGGACCACCACCGGCAGGGTGCTGTTGCTCAGCACGAGTGTGATATTTGCTGTCGAGGCGTCCACTTCTGTGCCGTTGAGGGAGCAACTTTTCAGCGGGTGCTCCTTGAAAATCTGCCAGACGACACAGGAGGTTCAAATTAATGTAATGTACGCACACATGTACACCAGCTGGATTATCATTCATCACTCTTTTAGGTAGCACAACCGCACTTTCTGGAAAATGATATTATCCCGAAGCCAAACGCCTTTCAAGTCTGTGCCATGAAACTCTAAAAATAGCAAACCTTCCAAAATCATAAGCCTGGATAATAGTTCAACTTTTAATCCGTTTAACTTTCAAGGACAATCAATCACGAAAGATCTCAAATGCACTCGTTAGAAAAACATGCTCATTTCAACCCCGAGATTTGAATATTGTCCAAAGATTAGTCTGTTCAGTTTAGTGTCAGGGACGTGAACACTCAGCCTGCCAACAAAAACTTTTTGTAATCAGGAGTTGTTATTTCAAGTCTCAGCTGTACCCTGGCCAGCTTGATGAAGGTCTCGCAGATGAAGATGAGGGAGATTAGGAAGGAGAAGATCTCCTGGGTGAAGCGGGACACGAAGCGGACCAGGAAGCTTCCCTCGAAGGCCACCACGACGATCACGATGACGATGAGCCAAAACCCGATCCACACGCGGCCGGTCAGGTACTCCATGTCGTTTGCTTTGCAGAACTGTGAGGACACAGAGCCAAGACACTCATCAACTGGAAAAACTTCACAGCTGCCACGAAAACCCTTTTTCTCAAACAGCCTCTTACTATGAGTGATGGGGTCCTACATTATGGAATAGATGGTTAGCTTAGCATTAAGACTGAAAACAGAAAAGCATTAGCCTGGCTCTGTCTAAAGGTGACAAAAATCCACCTTCAAATAAAAACACATAACCCCCGTGAAACTTCTAACGGGGGTTATGTGTCGGACCATTTCTTGGCTGACCTCAGTCACTTCCTGGAGTCTCCACTGGTGACCTAGCAAACTCACCACGACAACAAGACTTCAGATGACTCCTTCCGGTCAAGAAATGGCCCATAACTCCTCTAGAACCACAACTTGTCATATTCATACTACAGTTTTTGTGGCGATACTCTCGCCAAGAATGTGAATACGCTTATTTTTTAACCTTGGAAGTAATGATACACTGGATTTTATATTGTAGGCTGTTGTTATTGTCCAGAATCGTCAGTTGTTGTTCATCAACGTACACTGTAGAAGGCTTCTTCAAAGACCAGCAGGGGTCCGGAGAAGCCCACAATGAGTAGCGGCTGCGCTCCGAGCAAGCAGAAGACCACACCCTGCACTGCTGTCGACACAATCAGCTCAGAAACACCAATCAGACCCTCCGTCTTCTCACCTAGCAACAGACAAATAACACGGTAATGAACACCAACAAAGGTTAATGGTTCGTTAATAGATCATGGAGAGAACCATCAAGAGAAAAACATGAAAAGGGGTTTTCGACACGAGACGATAAACTGTGAATCTACAGTAACTCGACTCCTGCTCACCCAGTAGGCCTCCGAATGTTATGGCTGGAGAGAGGGCAGCGAAGTAGATGAAGATGACGGCAGCCATACACTGACTGTTCAGGGCATCCTTGAAGTCACTGAGGTATTTTGGGTAGCGGCGCCGCACGTCTCGTACGAGCCCACCAAAGGGGCGTCTGGTGCGCTCTAAAGGGTCGTCTGACTTCTTCAAGGGTGTGAGGAGGGCCTCTGTGTGACGGGAAATAGCCGGTTGTTAATTACAACAACAAGAAGTCATAGAACAGCGGCTGACATTTCCTTCGACACGGCCACAAATTATGTGATTTATCACCTTTTTCTTCCTTGCTTTTAGGCTCCTTGGCCAGTTTGACCCCCTGCTCCTCCCTCTTGCGCAGCATCTCCCTCTGGAAGCGAGCGACAGAGCGCAGCAGCTCGTCGCCTCCCATCTCTGAAGGCGGCAGCACGATGCTGCAGTCCAGGAAGCTGTTGATGGCGTTCAGCAGGTCCTGCCTGTCGTCTGCCAGGTAAGCTGCCTCGTGGAATTGCTGGATGGAAATTCAGATTCAAAAACAGATGCAACTTGACTCAAATTATAATTTTTTTTTAGAGGGAAAAGAAAATATTATTGCTTCATCGTTTAGATTTAGGTTTTGTGTATAAATAATAACCATCCCTGAATGTCTTCAGCTCGCTCACCTTGTCAGACATGAGTGTGGAGATGGAGCGTCCTATCTGGTGATAGTCTATGCTGGTGGTGGGGGGTCCCAGCAGAACGAAGAGAAACCTGACCGGTACGGGGACCTCAAGGACGGACTCCAGCTCCACGGCCTCCTGCAGTCGCACAAACGCCATGGTGGTCTGCTCCAGGAAGTCCACGCTGCCTGGAAGATGGGCGGGACGTAACAGTCAAAAAACAGAGTAAAAGTGATTTTTAATTGATAAGATATTTTTAAGTTAAGCGCGTGTGGTTTTCAAGACTCACCCACAAGGACAACAGTGGCCTCAGCATTCTCAGGAATCTTCTCCAGCAGCTTCAGCTCATGTTTAGATTTGGACCGGTGCATACCGGACACAGACATCGTCTCCTTCTGCTGCAAATCGAAAGAAGCACAATCAGGATAACGGATACTTGTTACCAGGACTTTTTGAGAATCAGCAGTAGTCTTACCTGTGCCTCGTTCTTCTCCACGTCGATGCGCGTCTCTGTGTCCCCCGCGGTGTGGACGCCTCCCATGAGCGGGTCGGTCACCGACGGTTCAGGGTGATGGGTGTGATTGGCACTGTGGTGATGCGTCATCAGGCTGCCCAGGCTGGCCGCGGACATGTTCCTGGGGAAAGGGCTACTGTGCTCCTTCTCATCGCTCGGGTGACTATGGGAGGCGGGGAGAGGAAGAGAGAGGGTGAGCAGGAGGAAGAGAGGTAGTGACAAGGCACGAAGCCACCGAGTAGCAGGAACTTTCCAGCTTATAACGAGCAAACAACTGATGTCACAAAACACTGCTTTCCAAACTACAAGAGCGAATAACAATGTAGTGGTAATATTGTGGTAAAACTTTGCCTCACACTTACTTCTGATTCTTGTAAGAAAGAAACAAATCTATCAGTGAAGCTGAACTCCCTCACTCGGTTACTCAATATCCTCTTAAAAGGAAATGACTGCGTGTTTGTTGCAGTCTGGTGCTGCAGGTCACCTGTGTTTCAGCAGCATGGCCCTCAGGACGTTGGCTCGGTCCTCAGCTTTGATCTGGTCAGATATGATCATCTGTTCCACCACCTGGTGGGCGATGCCCGGCAGGGTCTTCTGGTCCAGGTCCAGCAGCACTGCACCTGTAGACACACACACACGCTCAGCAGTCTGTGAACGGCATCGCTGACTTTAAGGCTTAAAAAGTGAACTGTGCTTCCATTTCTTACCATGCGAGATGGTCTTCCGAAGCTCCAGCAAACTGCGGAAAGACAGCGAGGCCACGTGAGGTTTCCCCCAGCGGTCGGTCTCCTCCTCAACGTCCTCCTCAAACTTGATCCATCGAGCAGTCTCCTTCCACTGCATCTCCTGGTTCTTGTCCATAGTCAGCTCATTCAGCTCCACGAACACCTGGAGACAACATCACACAGGAACACGTGCAGGTGAGCCGGAGAACATCCACACAAAACCACATGCACGTCCAGCACCTGCCAAATATTCAACTCAATAGCCAAAGCACTTTGTAGTCAGTTAATTCAGTGGAGCATTTTGCACGACAACATCAGAAAACAGACTCCATGCTTACCGGGTTACCAAGTGATTTGTTTAAACACACACACACACACACACACACACACACACACACACACACACACACTAAGAAAAGTTGCATAAAAACACAGCCAATGATATCTTAAAAGCTTAATAGTCACAGGAGAGACCATAATCTTCAGCTTTCCTAGCATCAAATATCTGTTAACGAGTTATTAAATGATCACCATGCTGGTCAGTCACAATCCCCTGTGAGATGAAGACCAAAAAACTCTTGGAAAACCCTTAATACAGCATATCACCTGCCATGCCTGTGAAATCACGCTCACACGGATCAAACCTGACTCTGGCCGGTGACCCAGCCTCACCTTCTGGTACCGAGCCATCACGTAGTCCTTGTCCAGCAATACGCCTTCGAGACGCGAGGCAGAGCGGTACAGAACCACCGGTATTGACTGGAGGAGCGAGACGGTGCAGGAGAGGACTCAAACACTGATACAACGGACAGCGGCACAAAAGGGCGGGACCCTCACTTTTACACACATGCTCACAGGTAACTCTTCCTCATCACACACACACACACACACACACCTGACACGGACCTGTTGTTTACGCGGGCTGCTGGAGGCTCAGAGCCGTGTTTGAGAATATGTGTGTGTGTGTGTGTGTGTGTGTGTGTGTGTGTGTGTGTGTGTGTTAATAAAACATAGCTCGCCCTCCCTCTCTCTCAGGCGTTCTCAGTGTCTGGTTACCAAAGCTTCTCTCTGCCCTCTTTTTCTTTTCCGTGTGTGAAAGGAAAGATCTCATTCATTCATTTTTAATTGTCTCCTTCCCTCCCTGTCCCATCCACAAAAGAGAGAGGACAGTGCTAAATTTGAGGGAGGGAAAGATGAGAAAACATTTCCCAGGATTTGCTACGATTTATGGCTACATTTTAAAACACAAAATCGATTAAAAAAAAAATATATATTAAAACGGCACCGAAAACAATTGTTCCCCAAAACTTTTGCAGCTGAATTTAAAAAGCTCAGTCAGTAATTTTTCAGACCAAATAAATAACCGATGTCTTATTTATATAACAAATATAGCATTTACCATACTTTAGTTAGTCTACACATTACAAGTCAATTATAATGTAAATCTTTTTTAATGGGTTTTAATGTTACCGAAACAATTAGCTAATTAATAGCTAATTAAGTCGTCAAACCATTCCGTTTCATATTTCTGGGGTTGAGGCTGTTTGTTGAACAAAACAAGTTATTTTACGACACATTTAAAGAATTAATGATAAAAATAATCATGAGTTGCAGCCCAAGTTATCGTATATTTTATTCTTCAAACACAGATTTCTTAAAATCCTGAAAATAGTTGGTTGTTGCAGAAAAGGAGCATGAACCTTATAATTCATCTAAGGACTAAAAAAATATATCTAAAAATAGTGTGATTTTTATCAACGCTTCATTATTTTTTAAACCGGTTACTTGCATTTAATTTATCTATTTACTGATATTTTGTAATTCAAATGATTGATTGCAATCAATTAATTGCAATAATAGTTAACAGATTAATTGAGCAAGAAAATGATCATAAGCGGTCGCCCTAGTTCTGATTTCTGATGATGAGTTGACTCTTGTTTACCTAATGATGACAGATTGTGTCTTAAACGTTACCAAAACTAAAAGATTATACCCCATTAACTTATAGTAATATAAGTACACGTTTGCCAAAATAAATGTTGGTACTGATGAGCCTGAAAAACGGGACAAACATCATCTTACTTGACAGGTTATTAGTTGATATGCGTCGGGCTTCATCAGTACCTCACCTCATGTGGGGTTCGGTCCTGCTTGCGGCTGCGAGTGGTCGGCTCTTTATGGTCCTTGCCGGTATGCACCACTTGTCCCTTGGTGCTCTTTCTGACCAGGTGTCTGCGCACGCCGGGAACATCTTCAAAACGATGACCTGGAAGAGAAGAAGAGGCAAGAAGAAGAAGAAGAAGAAGAAGAGTGAGATGTGTTGACGAATTCAGAGAAGATGGACGGGCAGCAACTTCAAACGTCAGACACCCACACACTCATTTTAACCAAAAGCGAACAAGTCAATGAACATGAACATTTAACATCCAAATAATATAACTGGAAATTAAATCCCTGCACAGCACATAGGCTGCACAATGTCAGTCGTATTTTGTGCTCCTGCTGCCCTCAGCATGCACACGTTGACCCGACACCCCAAGTTCAAATCTCAGCCCACCAAGTCACAACGGGCCAGGCCATTTTGCCTTTGTCTCTGTGGTCCCTCAGCAGGGAGTAGAGTTACTCAGGCTGGCATCACACCAGGCACTGAAAAGGATGTGGAGAGACACCGGATGGCACAGACACAACACTGCCAGTGGGAATTGTCCCATCAGGTGTTACGAAGATCAAAAAAACTCAGAAAAAAAACAAAAAAAAACAAAACAAACAAAAAAAAAAAATAATAAGGGAGATTCCCTCCAAGAATACCCATTTCCTTACCTTTATCAGAGCTTGTACGTCCTATGAAACAAACTGTGATGCTGTTGGGGGTCTTCATCAATGTTTCAAGTCATTGCAAGTTCAGAGAAACAATTTTTTGTCTAAAACGATGAGCTTTTCAGCTTTACTTTACAGAAAGGGTCTCTAGTCAGGTTGCTTCATGAAGTCTGAGGTTTGGGGGCAGACCCTGGAGTAAAATGAGGCCTGACTGGCATGAGGCTCTTGAAGGAGGAGGAGTGTTTGTGGTGGGCGTACGGTGGCTGCTGGCACCGCCGTCCGACTACATGACGCCCTCAAACTGGAGCGTGCAAGCCGTTTTTTGACCGGCGCCTGACCCCCGCTCAAACTATCAGACTGAATCAGTGAGCGGAGGTTTTAATTTGCTCAGGTCGGACAAAAGGGGAAGGACAGTGATCTAATAATTCCTATTGTTGAGCAGCAGCCAGAGACACTTTCCCAGGATGATTTACGGTGGCGGGATTTGGATAAAAGAAGACACAGAATACGTGGTGATGAACCTGTTGGGAGGCTCGACTCTGTATCACTAATCCCTTTAAAAGAACAAATATCTAGACAATATTAAGCCCCTACCTCCATCCTCATTCCACTAATGAATGAAGATTGTTAACCGAGATCCAGGTTTCACAATTAGCCACCATGTTGGCTTGGGCCCGAGTCCAAGGGCCTCAGCTGACAGCGGGAACTGCTAATTTAATAACATGGGCCTGTCTGCCACACTCTCTGATAAACCGCTGCTCTCTGCTCAGGGGTCGGCTCCCTTACGTAAATCTCCCCGGCCCTGAACACAACCCCACGCTGGGGCCGGGGGCTGGGAACGTCACAGGGCAGCGGGGAGCAGACCGCAATGTAGAAGGCCCTGGAGGTGGCCCCGCCCTCGCCCCAATGTTACTGGAGGAGTCTGAACGTCAACAAATCCAAGACTGGCTGTCTAATCACAACAAGAATTCAGAGGTTGAAAATGCAGTTTGCATCCATGTCTGTCCAAAATGTCAACACTTCATTTTATCATTTTATCCTTCAAGACATTTGTAGAACAAACAACCCAAAAACACAGCATCAAAATATACAAAAACACCATCAACTACACTACTACTGTACCCAATGTTTGTGACCCGACCACAGCTTTGTTGACGTTTCTTTTGTCGGTATTGACAAAAAATAATCTTGAAAGTTTAAACCTTGCATTTTTTAACCAAGACACAATATATCTAAATTGATTTTACTGCAGAATTTATGATGGGCTCCTTACAGGTACAAGTAGTCTTATGATCAATTGTTAATATAAAAATAATGATTACAGCCTAATAGCCTTTATCAACAATGAGCACAGAGCTCAAGGGGTTTATTTTCATATGGAAGTGACCTTCTGTATTCTTTCAAAAGTCCTTCTAATGGGTGAAGGAATGCACTTACTTTAAAGCATTTTAAAAAATGCACAAACTCTACTGAATTAAAATAATCAACTTGTGTCCTTATTACCCACCTGGTGAACTAAAGTCTTCCAAGCAAGTTTTAAGAACATACAATCTGCCAAGTGAGAATTAATCTGTACTCACTCTTGATGCCATCCAGGTCAGCGGAGGCCAGCGTCTGAGCCTCGCTCTCGTCAGTGGGGACGCGTTGGTACTTGGCCTCCTCAGCACCCGTCATGTTGCCTGTGCGTCTGCGATCCTGCAGGTCGTAGCCGCGGCTGACGGAGGACACCCGGGCCAGTGGCACGTGTTCGGGTGGCCCCGACTGGGGAGAGGAGCTGGCAGTGTCGGAAGAGGCCAGCTTACTAGATAACAGCAGAAAAACATCACAAAGTTGTTGCTCAGAAAATGACAAGCGGGTGTTTTATTGTCATTTTCTTTAGTTGATCAAACATTTTCTGCAAGAAAGGTTTTACATGTAAAGCTGGAAACGAGTGAAAAAAAAAACAACAACTTCCCAACACTGGGTGATTTGGTCGTCTCCACACTTTAGTCATCATCTTCTGATTGATGCATTAGATCCCACTAATGCTGCTCTTTAGAAAACAGGCTTGCAACTCTCAGCTCAAAACGCTAACAATGTTAATTGATGTGGCGAGAAAAAATGCTCGGCGACTACAAATCCTTCAAAGCACTTTTGAAATAAACAGAATGAACTCACCGTCCTTTAAACGCCAGTTGCCCACAGCATTTCAAAAGCAACTTTTTTCCTCAATTATTTCCCCCGTTTATCAGGATGTTAAATAAAACTAATCCGCTGTTATCAAGTTGCTCTCCAATGGACTAAAAACAAGCAAAAGGTGTATATACGCAGTTTCATCCCAGCCAAGATTAGACGCTCATGAAGAGGAACAGTAAATGTCATAGATGGAGTCTCAGGCTGCCGAGGTGTGTTGTGTCGTCTATAGCGACAGGTGATATATGGGTCTCCAACGAGAGGATTACTCTGGTCCATCAGATCGTGCCCAGCAGGCCCACTGGATGCCTGAGACGTGGTAACGTACAGTGTGTACCTCACCGACTAATCAGAAATGTGCCTGAGCCGTTCCACCCAATCAGAACGTCCGTGAGAACATTTCAGCAACATGGCAAAAACATGCGATCATCACAGCAGGTAAAGCACGGTTATAAAGTGTCTCAGGCCCATTTTTTTCAGTCCGAGAACTAGACTTTACTCACTCTGTGGAAGTTGCTTCTTCAGTATCTGCTCCCACCGCAGACTGTGGCACGATGTCGAGCTCACGGGCCGAGTGCGGGCTCTCTTTGGCCACATGGTCTTCATCCGAAACAAAGAACTGTGGAGGATATACAGAGCAGGAGAACACTGGTTACTGTAAAAAGAGACAACTTTCCTCTTTATGTTTGTCATAACGTCTTCATTAAGTATGAAGGACCCTAATTAAAAATGTGTGCATTTGTGAGAGCTGAAGCGATTGGTAGATCGTCAGAAATGCCAAACGTTGATGGTTTTACCTTCTCAAGCATGAGGATTTGCAGCCATTTCTATATTTTATGATACAGTAAACTGGATACTTTTTTGGAGTTTTGGTTTTCCGTATTTTGTGACATTTTATAGGCGAAACGATTAAAGATACTCAGCAGATTTATTGCTGATTAAAATACGTGTTAGCTGCAGCCCTAGTTTTTGTAAAAACATGTAAAAAAAACATTATAAGCCCAAAAATAATACTGTCCGATACATTTTTACTCTAAATACAGTGTTAAAAGACTCAATTTGAACCAAAACAAATAATGTGTTAAAGTAGATGTTAGTCCTTCCACTCACTTATAAATTCACTTGAAGATTAATATGAAGGCAAATGATTACCTCCACATCTTTCACTCTCTCCGACTCAGATGGAGCAGACGTGGTCTCCGTGGCCTCATCGTCCTCTTCCTCTTCATCCTCTCCCTCCTCTATGGCGCCGCTGCCGGGAACATGGCTGCCTTTGTGATCTTTGTCCTTTCTCCTTTTCTTGTTGTTCTTCTTCCTGCGTCCGTCGGAGGGCAGTTTGGACAGAGGTCGGTGGATGTGGTGAGAGGAGTGACGGTTGTCTGGGGAGAAGATAAAGCAGAGATACACAAACATGAGCTACTTACATATCACATTTAAAGTTGTTTTATTTTTTATTTCCCTGGATTGCTGAATGTTGAACTGCATTACACAACGAGGAGACCACCCCATGCTTACATTCAATGTCCTCCTCATGGTAGTTGTGGTGCTGTTCATCGGGTACGGCTGCAGCGGGGCTGAGGATCTGCTGGAAGCGCTTGACCCCCAAGGCTTTGTTCAGGTCCCCTTCATCCTCCTCTTCAGGGTGCGGAGTCCCGTGTAGTGTTGAGGCAGCAGGAGCCTCTGGCTGCAACACAACAAATGACCAAAATACATTAAAGAAATATAAAACAGAAGAAGAAAAGATCTGTCAGTTGATCAGAATTTCAGATTCAAAGTGTTTAATAAATATGTAAGACATTAGGAAATAATGATGTAAATAAATGCATTGTGGGAGAATAGTGTCCATCAACAGCACACTCATAAATGACGGTAGTCTGTACACCGACATTGAGACTCTCATATTAAAACCTGCTTTGAACTAGCAGTATGGATTTAAAACACAGCGTACTGCCTTTCACCTCAACCAACACCAGAGGGAGTTCTGGTTCGACAAATGTCTCCACATTCAGGGAATCATATGACCAGTCCTCTCCTGCAGACATGCTCTTCTGAAAATGCAAACAATAGCCATGTGCTTTGATCGGTTACTCTCTCCACGCTGTGGTGTGACAGGGATCATGTGGGGGTGATAAGAGATCTGTTTTCTTGCAGCAGGATGCCGTGCCCTGCTGCGCCCTGCTCTGCCGGTGGGATGTTGTGATAAGGATCGGCTGCAGTGACACAGCGAGTAGATCCACTCTGGCTAACGGGATCGTTCTGTAGCCACCTCACGGCAGAGGAAATGTTGCGCAGGTGCCTCAGATCCCGCAGCGAACCCTTCCTGAGGCACAACTCGGGGGCCACAAGTCATCTGATGCTCCCACAAATGGTTCTCAGGACACCCAACATGTCAATCGTATATTAGGTTTTCTTCAGTGCTGCAGGGAGTAACAAAGCACGCGGTGACTCTACTCCCACCTGCAGCTCCTGCTTACTTTTGTGTCACAGTTACACTCAGACTCTCACTTTTATGCACAGCAGAGCACACGAACGCACTGTAAGATATTAAAAATTACAGTAGCATAAAGTAACTCTAGCACAAGTACATGTACCTCAAAATCTTTAGAGTATTTCCATTTTATGGTACTTAATACAAAGGGAAATACTGTACTTTTAATTACTTCACAACATTTATGTGACAGCTTTAATTACGGATTATCTTTTGCATAAATAAACATTTAATAAGCTTATTAATAAGAATACATTGTTAAAGATTCCCAGCCTTTTTCAAGGGGACATTTTTCTGCAGAATGAGTATTTACTTTTGCTGATAGTAATTAAGTAACATGAATGCAGAATTTACATGTTGCATCGGTACAGTCACTCAAGTAAAGTACTACTTTTTCAAACTAAATATTTTTTTGTGCCACAAACCGTATCAAGACTTTAAAAGAAATGTACAATATAATATTTAATCAAATCAATGCTTTCAATCAACTTAAATCATCACATACAGAATAAGAACTAGTAGCAACTTACACACATGACGTGAAGCAGCTTTGCGGCTTCATTTGTTCCACTTTTATCACATTAAGCGCATCAAACCCACCAAGACAAGAAAATGCGAACAGGAAACTCAAGAGTTCATCCTGAATCAATCATACTTACAGCTCGACAGATGTTCATGAATCACGGCATGTGCACAGAAAGTGTGAAGAACCGATTCCCCTGACCCACATTACCGCGCAGAGTCCTACTCTTCATGCCACACACAGGTGACAGAAACAGAAAGCCCTGCACTGAACTCTGGACAGGCTGAGACTTATGAGTAAAAGAAGAAAGACAGGTCAGCCCGTTAAGCACACATTCAATATTGACCCAAGTTTCAATTCCTCATATAGTCTTTTTTTACCTGACAGATCAACAAGAGTTCCATAGAACAAACTATATGTTCACCTCAGCGACCTCCTGAACACACTGCCAAAGACAATTCAGCCCTTTAAAAGCACCAAACACTGTTTAAGTAGCTGAGCGGATTTCTAAGGGCCTAAACAAAAAACACGTCTCTTTTAAACTACAAATGTTGAGTTGAAGATCATATATTGGAGTAGCTTGATAAAGTAGTAAACAGTTTTTGCAACGATTTCATCAAAAAAATTGTTGATAAATAAAAAGAAAACCTCTTAATTTCTGCAAATAGGCATCACCCCACATCTGCGTCGCTATCTCAACACTTGCGATATTTAATTAGATGTCCTATCCCATCCAGATGTGTGCCGCTACACTATCCAGCAGTTTATTTTTACAGAGCTCTCATTCACATCATGGTTTCACAATGAATCCCTAGAGGTGGGAGAGATGTGCGAGGGATTCTCAAGAAGGTGAGAGAATTTTCCACAACCGAAACCATGTGCAAAAACAAGCCGAGGGGAGCCGAGTAAAAACAAAAACTGACCAGACAGCGAAGAAAAACTTTGACTAAGAGTTTCAGGGACTTACCTCGCTCATGGCAACGTGAGCTTAATTGCAATCAGCGTTTTTGGTGGCAACAAGTGTCACTGCCCTCCAGCATGACACAACTGGAGCACTGACCCTCAACACCTCTATTAAGAACTGCAGGCAGGAGACATCCCTCTCCCCCTCAGCTTATCAAAGCCTCGTGATGCCCTAATCAGAGCCCTATCGGCCAACCTGCCACCTTCACCGGTCTGCCCATTGTACCGGGGCAGAATAAACAAGACACTCGTTCTCGCTTTGAGGACAAACGCTGCCTGAAAGGACAAGCCGTGTTTGAACAGGAACAAAACCTCACGTTGACATTCATCTCCACATTTTAACTTAATATTGACCAAGGTGCTCTTAGTCGGTCTGCCTCGAAGGACTATGTAAATCGTCAGATGTTTAGTTCCTATGCATTTACAAAGGATGCCCTTTTGATGACTAATATTGACAGAAGACCTGTTAAGCAACAGGCTAGAATGAAATGATTAAATACATGTGCGCGCCAGAAAGGTTGAAATGACAAATGACTGAAAACACATTTGACCGATGAACAAAAATATCAAACTCAGCAATTCATTAACCACAAAAAAAAACTGAACTTTTGCGTTCAGAATTTCTTTAGAAAAAGTTCCTACATCTTTAGTTTAACTTCAGTCTTAAAGTTGAAATTAGTACAAGCATGTTGGTACCTTTCAACAAGAGCATTCTCATAAGTCTTGATAAAAGTGCCACTAAACTTATTTTAGCAATCAATACTTGTGAAAGCAAATATTGTAAATCCAATTTACCACCAAGTTTTCGAAATATTTACGACCAAGAGAAATATTATTTTTGCACAAAAGACTGTGCTGAAAATGAGAAAAGTAACGTAATCTGTTTTGCTTAAACTTATTTAAATGATTGCCAAATAAGAGTTAAGGAAATGCCAGTAAACAAGCCACGCTAGCAGCTCTGTGTTGCTGCAGTGGTTTGAGCTAAATGCTGACGTTAATTAGCATGGAGCACAAATTACAGCCGAGACTGATGGGAATGACATTTGTTTTGCAGGTACTTTGTCATAAGCTAAAGAAATCAAAATGTTGACCTGCTGATGTTGCTAGATGGAGGGTTAAGAGATCTCCAAAGTTGTTACAATGCACCCTCAGGGGTGCATGAATGTCTGTAGCAAAGTTCATGGCAATCCATTCAATAGTTTGGACCAAAGTGGACAAACAAAAATAAGGTAATGTTCTAGTCTTTTAGCTTTAATTCATCGAAGCTTAGTGGTGAGAATATATTAAAGTCAAAGAGTTGTAAAAATCTTTCCAGCAACATAGTTTTGGAAAGTAGAGTGCATGCGCAGTGGCTGTGTTGTATAATGAGGTGGACACTCGACCGTGTGTCGAGGCTGCAGAAGAGATTATCCGTGTCTTGAAGTAGACTCAAATCCTACACAGTCAGCATTTGGGGGGGGGGGGGGCAGCGGATGTCGTACCGTGTGTCTGGTGAGTCACTGCATTCCTACGCATCTCAAAATGAGTCTGCAAGGACATCTTGTTGCACAATATTCTTCTAGTTGCTGATTATTCAATTGGAGCACGTGAGTTGTAACCCAGTTTTGTCCTCAGCCAACTGTGAGTTTTGTGTTATGCAAGCACACATTTACACAACTTCCCAATTACATCATGAATTAAAACAGCCTGTTTGCACTGCTTAAAATCAAATACGTCATAACCTCAGTCAGTGTAATCAAGAGATCCTCCAATCAGTCAGAGACCGGAAGAAAAGTCTCCAATGCGTTTGTTTCTGCTTCCTGTCTATTGACAGATTATATTTGCATTGGAAATTGGGCTTATCCGCTTTATCATTTTATATTATGCAACAGGGTTTCCAGTAGCTAAACACATAAGATCACTCTCCCGAGATAGTGTTCTCCCACCTCAGGTTTATCTAAGTTGAAGATGTCCAAATGATAAGCTCTGTTGAGCGGGGGGGGGGATTCTGAAGAAGCTGCCAGACGCACGTCACAGGAAGTCTACGAGGTAATAAAACCTGATAGGAATCAGGGGGTGTGAACCACTCTGCACTGATCTGATCCTTCTATCCGACACAGTCACTGATACCGTTGCACTTTAATGTGAAAGTTCACCATTATTTATAGCATGAGGATATGACATGATGACAGCAAAGTTTGGGTGAATGTCATTGTCAAGATTAGCAGTTCCACAGTTGGGGGTTAGGAGCCCACAAAGGGGTCGCAAGAAAACTATAAGAGGTCACAACGTGATTAACCGGACTAAAGAGAAACAAAAACCTTGATAAGGTGGATAGTTTTACACTTTCAGGCCTCAAAAATATCAAATGAAACCATTTGTGTCACTGCCAAAGACTATTAGACAATAAACATGTGATGGCGGGGTGGTCACCTGTAAACAGAGATTTGTTTTCAAGGAATAGTTCAACGCCTTTTCTTGCTAAATGAGAACATCGATGCCGCTTTCGTGTAAATATGAATCTTCGGTCAGAAGCCAGCTAGCTTAGCTTAGCATAAAGACTGGAAACAAGGGGGAGACGGCTAGCCTGGCTCTGTCCAAAGGTAACAGAATCTGCCTACCGGCACCTCTAAAGCTCCTAATAAACAAATATCTTGTTTGTTTAATCCGTGTCATCTATGCTAAGCTAACCGGCTGCTGGTTGTCGCTCTAATGGAGAGACATGATAGGGATATAAATCGTCTCATCTAACTCCCAACAAGAAAAAGAATATGCCCATTTCACAAAATATGAAACCACAGCTTAATTAATAGTTTGACATCTCTTGTAATCACTGTGAGACTCAAGGACTGCTGCCCAAAAAATGTAATAGAACAGAACCCCCGCAAAACCGCTACCGGATGTTTTTACACTTCAGTTTTTGTCCGTATTAAACAAAGTAGATATAACATCAATTATTGTGCTTTAAAAAGCTGGAAGGTGTATTTTGTTACCTCTAAACAGACCCAGGCTAGTCAATTCCCCCTTTTTCCAGTCTTGATGCTAAGCTAACAGCTCCAGCTTCCCATTTACCATACAGACATGATTGTGGTACCGAGCTTCTAATCTGACTCGCAGCAAGAGAGTAAATGGACACATTCTGATAATGTGAAACTATTCCTTTAAGGTGAAACAAGCCAAATAGGTTGGAATCCAATAATCTAGACAGTTTTCATCTCCCGGATTGTTTGCAGCGATGAAATGCCCCGGAGTAAGACCTTGAATCCCTACCAGCTCCAGTGGCTCTGCTCTGCAAAGCAAACAAAACAAACCTTTGCAAACAATTTAACTGTGAACCAGCAGCACAGCAGGCTTCTTAATGTTACTCGTTTGTTATTAATTAAAGAGAACCGGTTGAAACGCTCACAGCGCTCACCTTTCAAGAAACATTTCAGAATCCACCCGACGACATTAGAGGGGTGACCAACTGTAACTAGTGACGCATTAAGATGACATTAAGCTGTAATTATTACCTTGGATTTGTAATGCCTGAGAAAAGTCAATGAGCTGTTGAAGTAAAAGTGCATTTCAAACTCACAAGAAGTCGACTGAACATTAACCAGCTGAGGTTAACTTTATCTTTAAAAGCAAAGTCAGAAGAAGAAAGTCAGTCGACATATGGGCTTAGAAACTTTTCCAAATGTAGGATAATGAGTAATGACCGACTGGGAATGATAAGAAAAAGACTGAAATCTTACAAACCGAAACACGTCACGTTGAGTCCTCCATTAAAAAACTGCTTTGACAAAACAAACTCACCTTTAAAGAATACAGATAGTCCATCAAATGACACGCAGGGGTGTTGCTGCCGCCTAAAGTACAACAAGATAGCTATATTTGCTTTTACAATGTCAAAAGCAAAAGCTAGATATGTCCGCCACTTTCATGGAAGGCAACCTGTTTCCCATTTCAGTTAGCCCTCGTCACGTGACCGGGGAAAAATACATTACTCAGTTTCACGATTAGCCCTTAAAAATCCAAACAGGATTATCTGAACTCTCCCTGAACACACACACACGCAGACAGACCCACATTGTTTAGGAGATAATAATTAACTTGAGAGCCAGTAGAACAACCAATAAAAAGTAACTGTCATACAGCAAACATTTTTATCTTTGGTGAGCTTCTTGGTCATCACGCTGCTAGAGAGTCTAAATAGAGATTCTGAAGAGGCTCGACAGAATCTCGTAAAGGATGTCAAGCAACACCTTCTGCAAGAGATCAATGTGGCCAAAGGTAATATAGGGTCTTATCCTGTTTAAAGACAATGTTTTGTGTAATGTATACAACTAAAGGGTAGATCATCTGGGAAACCGCATATAGCCGATACAAAGACGATTGTGTCCAACTTTCTGAACAAAGCAAAGTATATGTTGGATTATAAAGCACTTTAAAAGTTGTACATTACACTTTATCGTATTTCAGTTCCTTTGCAGTGTCTACAGCTAATGTAAACCCATTAAATAAACTACAGAAAAGAGCAATACAAATTATAAATAAGGTGGATTCAAGACTTCACTTAACAAAGTTCGCACAAACTACATTAAAGCAGATATGTATTTCAGTGTCTGAAGTCAAACTGTCAAAGTATTTTAAAAGTTGATCTATTATTCAATTTAATAAAATGCATAGAGACCAGATAATGTGGTCATATGAAATGAATGGGTTTTAATGCGTGTGGCTGGGCCTTAAGACCATCTATGGCCGATCATTTATGTTATTATTTTGAGTGGGCAGGTAATGTAAGATTTCTCTTCTTCCCGCTTCTTTTCGATCACAGAATATGCATTATGTTACATATTGTAGCTTATATGTGGTATTTTGTGTGGAAAGTGTACACTTAGGTGACGTAAAAAATAAATAAATACATTTTCTTTAAGGTACTGAATAAGTTAAATGTGTTGCTTTAGATATAAACAACTAAATCATTTGTTCCCGACTGTCTTGATGATATGAAAATCTGAGAAAATAAATCTAATATATAAATCATCCAAATTATGACAAGTAGTTAAACCTATGGCCTCTGTCTCTCTGCACTTCATGGGTCAGTAGTTAAGTGTTACGGTTCCACTTCCACCGCTGAAACACTCTGCATTCTTTGCCTGGACAGGTGGGGTTGGATTTCAAACTTAGACAGCACTTATGTTGTGCCTGTCCTGCAGGTAGATGCAGTGGTCGTCAACATGGTGATCATAAAGTTGTGCAACACCGGAAAAGGAAGCAGCTTTGCAGCAAAAAAAAAAAAAGAAAAAAAAAGCAAAGCAAGCATTTCCTACATTTGTATTGCAATGAAGAACAAAACAGCTCTGGTGCTGCCAAATGAACACCATGAGCACGTCTACAGGAACGTTTGAACAAGATTGCGTAATATTCAGTCGCTCAACAGTACAATAAAAGTTAAACCTCATCAGAAGTAGCCTGATTTGTTACAGATTGGAAAATGTCTTCACTTTTGCTCCCACTGTGCTGTGAAACATCTTCTATTCCCACTCACCTATGGATTCAACCCACAGCATAGTAAACTCTTTTCAATTTGGGATGTTGAAAAGCGTTCAGGGAAACAGAAATCCTTAACTTAATAAAAAGAACATGAGAAAGGTTGGAAAATCAGAAGAAAAAAAAAAACCAACCAATCCTGATAATTCCTGGATTTCAATCGGACTTAATAATTCCTGGAATTCAATAACCATCACAAATTGATATTATATAACAATATGAGGCTTGTCGTGGGGAGGATTGTTCCTTTAAGCTTGTGATATTTTCTGCTGCAGCTTCTAAATCATCCTGAAATGAATTTGTTGAGAACCTCTCGAGTTGGGGAATTTGGTTTCCTTTGGCTGCTGACCAGCTGCCCTCCAGGCAGCATTTCTATCACATCAATCCCACCAGCAGCAATGCAATTATGCCTTTCATTATAAGCCAATATTATTTTTTAGTGTTTCCAACACTGGCAAGCCATCGACCTTTAGGAAAGAGGAAGGAAACTGTTTCAGTTGTGGAACTGTTTCATTCTGCAGTGCTCGGATGAAAAGGGAAGCTCAACAGGAGCAGCTCTCTCAGAGCAGATGTGAAGAGTTTTTGAACTATTCTTAACGGTTTTATTTTTGCAGTTACAAGTACTGCATGTTTCCAAGGAATAGGCTCTAGGATGTGACTAGATTTGTACACAAGTAGGTCTGGAGGGAACAGCACTGTCCAAAACACACACACCGATGCCAGAGAGGACTGAGGGAGCTGATGCAGCGTAAATCAAGCATGGGGAGAAAATTAAATGAAGTAGAGGAAAATTACACACTAAACAGCTAAAGACTCATGCATGAAAAGACAACAAACTGCTAATTGTGAGCTTAATCTCCTCCTGAGGAGCATTTAACCTGGTGGGCGCAGACTCTGCCCCATGTGTGAGGTATTTATCACGTCACATTCAGATAGAAACAAACCTTTCACCATATTATAAACAGACGTAATCCATGAATTAGTCCCTATTCACACGTTTTATCATGCGTCGTCTGTGTGCGGTCGGGTGGACTTACACTGTGAATAACCGATGCCATGGCATCTGTTATCTGTTTGGGAGCGCTGGGGTTGCTCATGGCTCCACGGTGGAGTCGCTGCAGGAGAGGCTCTGGAACGCTGGTTTGGGTCGGTGCGGCTTTAGCCCTTCTCTTTCTCTTTCTCACTGGGACTCAGACAGCTTTTGGGCAGCATAACCTGGAGACAGACACAGATCCACATTGAGCTGGAGAGTTATAACATTAAAGGCACAGCTGTGAGATGAGCAGTGCAGGACTTGAAATCCCTTCTCATACATTTTAGGACATTGCAGCAAGAACATGATGCTAAAAACACAAAAACGAATAAGTGAAGATTGCTACAGCACAGGTACTTAAGGTATTTAAGTGTTTGCTGATATCTTGGGGTCACAGACATCATTAATTGCATACAAAACATTTGCAACCAAATATAAAATATGCCGACGTACTGAGATTATGTTTGTTACTTTTTTAGGACAGAAAGTAACACTCTGTGAGGCTTTACTTTGAGCTCCATGCTCACGTAAGCATGCCAACATACTCACATATGACAACGCTTACTTGCACTTTAACCTCATAAAGTGCTGACTTTTTTTACATGTGCTGAAGTGCAATGCCAGCAAAACACAAATCAACACACTTCACTGGAGGACCACACTGAAGAGTAATCAACAGTTTCCAGATTTCCTGGAAGACACTCAAGTACGTTTGAGTCCCCAGACGCACTTCATAAACACAGCTGGCCTTAACTAAATGTCGTTTTTTATGTTGCATCACACACACACACCAAGACATTCTACAAGAGGCATGATGGCTACAACGGTTGAAGAAGTGCACAACAACATGCTGCGTCTATTTTCATTTCTATGATTTCAGGCCTTGTAGCAATTCAAGGTTATTAACCATTAGAGCCAGATAAGAACCAGATAGCACGGTGCTACTGTGCAGAGGACCCTGTGATAAGCGGCAGCACGTGCCTCGGCTAACGTCCAGCCTCGGCCCTCTCGTACGACATACAACCACAGGAATCCAAACGTAATCAGGTTTCAGTCGGCCCGAGGAGGAGTTTTAATAGAGATGCACTACAAGAAGACAGTAAAGCACAGAAGTAATATGCTGCAATTAATAGAAGCATTGTAGATCCTGATGAAGCTACTATTTTTTTATCATCGTTTATTCGCCCTTTTATCGGAAAAGGCCAAAAAATTAAGTGGTTCTGGCTCCTCAAATGTGAATATATGCTGGTTTTCTCCGATTGTAAACTAAATATTTTGGTTTTCAGAATGTTGGTCAGCCAAAACAAGACATTTAAAGAAGTCACTTTGGGTTTTAGGGAAACGCTTTTACTATTTCAGAGGCCAAACAAGAAGAGAATCAATCAAGAAGATTGTTACTTGCAGCCCTAGTTCTCGATACAATAACGCTTTAGTGTTAGGCAGCAGGTCAACAGGTGTACAGGGTATAAACTCAAATGCCACCCAGGATGAATTGCTAAACGGGACATATCTAAATGAATTGAAGCAAATGACGTTAAACATTCTAGACACCCAGGCGGTCGTGATCATATTAGACTTTACAGAAATCTGTGAAGTGAACCTAAAGAGGGCGTTCCTGTGCTTTAGACAGTCAGAAATCATGTTCTGGCTCTCTGATAAGCCTCTCTGCTGCCTGACTACAATCATATCAATGACCTTGTTGACAGTGAGGGATTTCTGAGCTATATTTCACTAAAACACAAATCAATGATTAGAGATTAAACGCAGTGCAGATGAAAAAGAGACATCATCCGCCAAAGAGACCTGAAACTGAGACGCCCGGCAGACAACACAAGGTTCTGGCAACGCTCCTCCTTTGCTCTGCCAAAATGGTGATTACAAACCAGCAGCTCTTCTGTTCAGAACAACAACTTTAACTTGTTCGAGACAATCTAATCCCTGTAGTAGAGGGAATAAAAGGAGTTAGTTTGGGTGTGTTTGAAGATTACTTTCTCAGTAAACCAAGACCCCACCTCTGTGGAAGAGGCAGGGATAAAGTTACAGAACCCTGGGATACAGAGCATGGGAACCAGCTTATCTACCTCAGCGCACGGCTGTAATAATACAGAATACAGTAATGATCGGAGGAGAAAACAATAACGCCAATAGTCTTGGTGAGCAAGCAGATTTGTTTTCTATTAAAAAAAAAGCATTGTCCTCAATGATCTAAACATTCTTGTCTAATCGGGTACAATCAGTCGGAGGATTGAACAAAAAGGAGCTGGTTGTCAGTTATTCAATAAACGAAATGACAAATGGATGAATGCTGACAGTGTAAGAGGAAGTGAGGACAATACGCTCTCTTTCCCCTGGAAGAACTTCATCATGTCTTCCCAAAATGATCCAAAAGCCCAGTGCCTCACAAACCTTCCTAAAACAAGACGATGACTGCGGGATTTTTTTTTTTTTTTTCCTTTTCCCTACTTTTCCATTTAAGATTTCGTCACAGCCTCAAATCTGTGCATGCAGGGCTTTGGGAAAACTGTCCTTCTGGGAGGAAGTAAGTATGAAAACAGGAAGAAGGTGAGGACGAGCTGCAAACGTATTAAAAAAAAAATAAAAAAAAAAAAAAAAAAAATAGAAACTGGGCATTTTGGAATTCTTTCTGGCGTACATGTTGGACTTTGGAAAAGATTTACTGAAAAACCATTCGCATGCTTGGACCAGACCTATATTCTAAAGATAATAATGGTTAAAACTAAATGTCTACCCTGTGACATTATAGGTTAACTCAGCATAATAAACTGTCACTATCCCTCCTACAGAGAGCAGACTATATAATCAGGTCATGTGTGAAGACGCTACCTTTGACCGTTTGGTCATCTACAGAAAGTAAAAAGCAAATACATTGTAGTTGCTTTTTAGTTCACAGATGTATCAGGCCTAGGAGCTTCAGATGTCACACATTTTAGATATCAGGCATGAAAAAAATAGCAGCCAAACACTCCTCGCCTTTAAAGGATGCTCTTAAGAGTCCAAAAATGTAAATCACTAAAATGTTGACATTTGCGTCACATCTTGAGAGGAATGTGATAACTCAAGACCACAACTTTTGGTTTTTTTCCGTCAGTATTAAGAGCTTTGATGTGGTGACTCATCTTTCCTGTAGAGTGCAAATATACCCGACAAAGTCTCCTTGGTACGTTGTAAATTTCCAGTATTGCTAAAAATAAATGCCCTGCTCACCTCGGAAATATTGAATTTAGTCTGCCACTCTGAACACAATGTCTTTCTGTCAAATTTGAGAGGCTAGATGTATTTTTTGGATACTCTGTAGGGTTTTTCTTGAAGAAAGGACAACGACAGGTTACATAAATCGGGGACACTCAGAAGAAACGACGAAGATTTGTTTGTTACAACGGTTAAAAAGTTCTTTGCCTCCACATAATGACATTAAGGGAAAGGAGCGAGCCAGTCAGACGGGACAGAAGTCATGAGCCAGACTCACACTCACGACACGAGCCGGTTAGACGCCCGGCTTCAATCACGCAGCTCGGCACGCGTCGACCACAGACTGCATGATCATCTACAAACTTTTATCAAAAAGGGCATAATTAAAGAACAGTCCAATAAAATACACAAACTGCCGATAAAAACACTCGTCCAGAAATAGCAGCTTGATCACAATGTCCAAACCTTAACAGGCCTATACTTATGAAAGCAGGGCAATGACAGGGAGGAGAGGAGTGGAAGGTTTCATTAGAGAACTGGGCGAACAGAAACCAGATTCAAGTGTCTGATTCATTTGTTACATTTCAGCAGATAATGCATGTTTAAAAAGGATTTGTTTTCCTCCCGATTGTGTTGTTGCGATATCTTCCAATGACGTCAAGATAAATCGTGGCCTTCGTGTTTTAGCAAACACAATAACAAGTTGAAAGATTCTGCATGAATTCACAGAATCGACGGCATTATCGCCTGTGCAAGATTTGATTTAAGAAAACAAAAAAGACCAATTTATGAAGTAAGGTCTGTAGCTATGAAGGGTCAATTTTGAGTCAAGCACAGCATTTAGAGGGTCATCACTTCCCCAAAAACATGGCTTTTAAAAAAAGTCTCCAATTTAGGATTCATGAGTGTAAAAGCATCTGTGCTGCTAAAACTCAAGTGGGCTCAAAGTGGCTTGTTTATGGCCGTTTTCTGCTGTGGAACTAAGCAGAATTTGCTCAAGTCGGAGACAGCAACAGGAAGAATTCTGTTAAGTTTGATTTGACCTGAAAAACAATTGAAGACTAACCCGTACAAACAATGACTTAAACAGACAATAAATCAAATAGAAGCAGTTATAAAGTAACATTCTGACAAATAAGACAACATGACAAGTGGATAAGAATTAAGATATCCAATATTTGTACCGTACCTTTGTGTGCTCACAGCAGAGAGGCCACCGCAGACATTGTAGTGCAATTCTGAACTCTGTTGTGAAGAGAGACCCGGGGCTAGTTCAGAGTGCAGGGCAAAAACAAACAGAGGGAGGCGGGCGAGATAGGGAGACAAACGAAACGAGAGTTAGAGATGTTGAGCCGATCATGTGCAGTCCAGCCTCTCGACCTGCCGAGAGCTCTCTCCCTCTCTCTCAGACCAACTGATAGCGGCAGCCTTCCTCCTCAGGATTATGTTTCCTCCTCCAGCCTGCTGACAAGTAGCCATGTGACTCCAGCACCCATTCAAAACTGAGTCAGAGCGCACACAAATTGATCCGTCTGTCACACACAAACAACCTCAACCGTGAGGTGGAAATTTAACCCCAATGATCAATATCTGTCCAGACTGTGCCAGTGGGGGATTTGCATGTTTTAGCCCAGAGGTTCCTCACCTGTTTGTCTGGTGAACTCTAAAAACAAAGCAGTGACAACTTGCAACTCCTCGTTACTGGTTGCAAGTGTGTACCAGTTGTGACCAGCGAGACACAAAAATATACCATCCTCAACTTATTTAATTATTTTTATAGTCCTGAAGTAGTAATTATCCAGAAATTAATTAGAAATCAAGGATGAGACGTAGGTTTGAAAAAATAAGCATAATACTGTGTAGCAGAACGTGCAGAACATTGCTCGGTCCTTTGATCACATGATGATTACATTCAGTGTCATGTGGAAATACTGTTATCTATTCTGAAAAGGTCCATTACGATCTTTTTCAGTCTGCGAGAGGGAATCAAATTCATGCAGCGACACAGACAATAGGTGAGCAGCTGGTAATGAAAAAGGCTTTTAAAATTAAAAATTAAAAAGGGTGACATGAGAGGGAGCGCCACAAAAGCCGGTTTACCACCACGCAGGAAAATCAATGTGCTCTCTCATCTCAAACAATACAGACAGAAGACAGGGAGTGAGTCACTACACTGGCTTTCTTTAGAACATCGGGCAACTTGACTCTCATGAAGGGCATTTTAAAACATCTGTAATGCTTAGTGATGAATAAGTAATCCATTTTCTGAACTGAGCGATGCAAAAGGCATTGGGAATATATCAAGTTCAAAATGAAAGTAGTACGTGTACTTTAGAACTGTGTGTTTATACATTGGCACAGGATGTTTATTCATTTGTTAATAAGTGTGCGTAAAATGAGTGGGAAAGCAATGACATGTTCCCGAATGCGTCTTTAATTATTAACTGGTAATGACTTTTGATATCATTGTGAGTGCTGACATTTTAAATATGTCCAGTTTAGTTGGAGTTCACCAGGACTATTTGCTTGTACTTGTACAGTTTTAGGGTAATGTTTCCTTCAAATACACTCTGGCATGCTACAGGTTCTTATTGTGTTTGGCAATGGAAAAAAATAACTTGTCGTGTCATGGAGGAATCAACACTATTACACAATTAATCCCACCTAAAGTCATAAAAGCCGCCAGATTAATTGTGTTTTGCAGCAAACAAAGAACAGTCCTGTGATCTAAACAAGTTGCTTTCCACGTTTGCCAAATAATCCAGCGCTGCATTCCACATCAGCTTATATGAGCCTTAGGGCTAAAGAAATTCCCAACCTCAGGAGGAACCTGAGTGTGTGTGTGTTATAATTGTTTGTCCCCGGGGGATGAGGGATCACTGTGGAGTCACATGCACGTCTTGCGGGGGAAAAGAAACACAGTCAAAGTCACAAGCAGCTAAAATTGAAGTCCATTTCAAAGCGTGGGGCTTTCCTTGATCCACACAGTGTGCTAATAATAGCATTATCCACTGTGGTCCACCATATAAAGAGCCGTGACTTCATACGTGCAAGGTCGATTCACAACTTTATCTTAACCATGACCAACAGACAACATGCTGATTACACAACACCACCGCACAATAGAAATATTGGCCTCACTCTTGCTGTGACAATTTAAATAATAATGTTAATTGAGCCGGTTTTTAAATAGTTCCAGGTTCATTTGTTGTCACCCAATAAAGGAATCTGGGCTACATCCAAGAAATCTCGTGCACATTTCAAACCACATTGTCTCTGCTGAAAGAAATAGAAAAAGACCAAAAATAACATTTAAAAAGTTATTCTACACAATAGATAACTTTTATGAAGTGTTAACACGACTCGGAACTTCTCCCTCCAGCTTCCTGTTATTATTCTCTCCCTTCAAGTCCAAAACCAGTCTGATAGGCTTTATTCCTAGACATTAAGGAAACACACTCAGGTGGTGAACCCCGGACAAACTGTTTACTTTAAAGCCAACAGGTGACTACTACAACCAAAGCTTGAACTGACAGAAAAACTCACCAGAACACCGCTCGGTGCTCTCGCCTACTCAAGTCTCCTGGCAATGCAAAGCCTGACCTCGATGCCGCTGTATACCACTGATAGCTGCCCTGTTTGGGGCTCTCTTTGGGGATTTGGCGGTGGTGTAGGTTGATGGCCGTGCCTCTGTTGCCTCAGAGTGTTTTCAGCCTGAAATAGCTCCTCTCTCAGCATGCAGACGTCTCTCTACCTCCCCGCTCTGTTCCACACAGCTTAGCGGCCACACTAACGTCACTCTGGGTCTGGAGGGGTCCAGCACTTTAGCATGACTGTGCTAAGTTATGTGCACACAGTCATTGGAACACTTCCAGTTTCACAGACAGAGCCAACAGCTGCATTCAAGCCAACGAATGCCCATCTGCATCTCGCTCTGTGTCCCGTCAGCCAGCAGCGGCTGTTCTTACAGCTAACAGCACCTGTCTTTGGGGTGAAGAGGGATTGAAGAGGCAACTTAATTCTGGCAGCTTACATAACGCCGGTCCATTTTCCTCCACTCTAGAAAAGAAAAAGCTTTCACCACTCGGGTATTTTTATATCTTGAGGAGGGTTAAGAGTGTAGGAGGCCAACAACACACACTCTGAAGTGGAAACAAATGTCACGTGGAAACACGTCGTCTGCCTGCAGACTAGAAACGTCCTTGGGCTCGTATAGTAACGAGCTATAATACTGAGTTAGAATATGAAAGAGTAACGCTCAAGAGGAAGACGGAATGTGGAAGAGATAAACAAGCAAGTCAACAAAGAGCTCATGCAATGAACAAAAGGTCAAACATTGGTTTATTCATAATTCCCATTTTGTTTGAGGCTTGGATGTTAAAGATTCTACTTAAGTGTCAGCGGCTCTAAAAAAAAAAAAAAAAAAAAAGGGAGCCTGACTAGACGTTAAATCATCATCTTCATGTACGTAACACACTAATGAACTTAGTAAATTAAATAGTAAGTCCAGACTCATCAGCAGACTTGAAGATATAAGGATATCAGTGTATTCTTGAGATACAAAAGTAGATTTCATATATTTTTGACACTTGCATTTGATTTTTAAATATTTATAATACTTATTTTTAATGATAATAAAGTTGTTCAACTGCAAAAACAATCAATATATAATGCAAAATAATAATGCAAAAATCAGGGGCAAAAACAATAAGTCTTTGTTGACAAGGAATATAAGTAGATGTATATTTACGAGATCTTTTAAGGGCTGCGGAGAACTGCAGAGTCGGGTAATTGTCGGTGGAAGAAAAGGAAGACTAGTGATGCTCATGAAGGACAGGTCAATCAAAATATAAAATATGCTTCTCTAGCTCTTGAGTTCAGTGTCAACATAGAGACGCGAGTCCAGAGGTGTTAGGGCGTGGTCATTCCTCATTATAAGCTCAGCCAGGGCTGCTCCGGTTGCACCAGCTGCACAAAAGAAAGCCACATTCTCACAGAAACATGGTAATTGTGGAGCTTTGACCCGGTGCACTTGTAATAACTGAATTTACTCTCATGAGACTCAAGACTGGGACGGGAGTTAAAATATCTCCCGGGCTCCCAGACCCAAAACAAAAGGCCTCAAAAACAAACAAAAAAGGTAAAATACAAATCAGCCATTATCCATTTTCTGGACAAACAACACAACCATAAAAACTCTTACACCCACATGGGAAAGGAAGACAACAGTGAGGAAGCCCGGCTATGTCTTATGCAGTTAAGTGTATAATTAGACGCTCCAAAGAGACCACAAACGTTTAAAAAAAAAAAAAAAAAAAAAAAAGTTTAAAGTGGGAGGACGGTAGGCCACACCATGCACGTTCCAAGGTGCACTGCCAAAGCGCTTAATAGTAATCAAATGCAACTTAGCGGTCTCCAGCAGAGCGACAGCCAAACAGGCAAACTGAACTATATATGATGGGACTTCACAATATCTAATAGTAAACAGACCTAAAATAACAGTGTTTAGGTTAGGATGAGGCCGATGTTTAGGCCTGGTGTGTTTAACTAATCTCTGGGTCTGTTTATCTGCAGAGGGGAAGGTAAAATAAACATGAAGACCCAAGAGGCCACGACAAAAAAAAAAAAAAAAAAAAAAAAAAAAAAAGAAGCTGCTTATCATCAGCCTCTTTTCCTTCCTCGTCTTCTGCATGACCAAGCAATTCCCCAACAAGAATGCGGAGACACTCTGCTCAACTGTTTGCACAGTCTTTTTTTTTCTCTCAGGGCAAACAAACCATTGTTGTCACGAATCAGTTTACAATAAGTCTGTTTGACGTATTGCACTGAGGCGAAGGAAAACAAATTCAAAAAAAGCAGAGACTGCGATCACGCGGATAAGACGGATCTATCCGATGTGTCAAAAGCACCCGCGCAGGATCACACCACTAAAAAGGAAGCCGAAGTACTCTGGAATTTGAGAGCATGAATCGAACAAGGTCAGATTTAGCGAGACAAACATTTCAGATTGTACGAATCCTTGGACTATTATTATGGTTAGAGATTATAAAACCTAAGTAAATCAAACCACTGCAGACAGATAATCATCTCTGCTTTGCATCAAAGTCCAATATCTCCTCAAATAACCTGCAGTGCACATGGTGATGATATTGGTGAGTCAGCAGAAGAGAGACACATCCTTCCTCCCATGCAGCCAGAGGGCATGTCCTGAGATCTAATAGCCATGTGACACAAACAATCCAGGGACCATGGTTCACAAACTAGGGTGCAGGGACCTGCAGGGAGCCTGGAGAGGGTTTCAAATGGGTCCATGGCACACAAAACATTGAAATTAAAGGAGCCACGTTGAATTTTCTCCATTTCTGTCGTACAAATGACACTTCCCAAACTGTTTTACACATGTCTCGATGATGACGCTGACCTCAAGAGCAAGATAAACTTCCAAATATTTTGGATTTGACTGGCATGTCCTTCATGAGCACCGCCGGTTCCCTTTTCCTGTACCTTACATGTCATACGTCTGTCTCAATAGCTTAGCATCAGAGCACTCTTGTTTTCTCAGATTCATACTGTAGAACTTTTACAAAGCAGACGTTTTGACTTGTCACAAAACTCGAAACACAAAGCATGGCTCAGCGCCATTCATCATTTTAATGCAGCAATTAATGATATTAGTTTCACCTGCGTTTCAAAATGTCTGCTGTGAAAAAGCACACAGCAGAAAAAGACAGAATATTTGCTGGTTACAGTTTTACATCATTATAAATTGAATACTTCTTAACTACGATAGAGATTTAATAGCAACTTCTTTGGGTCTCTGTTAATTGTTTTTTGTTGCATAATGCTTCATTATGCTCCCTCATTAGTGTGCTCCACTTTCATCTCCAAATCTATGGTACAATATGACATGAACATGGAATGAAGGAGAGACGCTAGCTTGCTAGGATGAGAGACGTTATCGTTGACATTATCGCTCACTATCCACCCGTCTGTGAGGAGGCTTAAACCACGACAAAAAGTTGAGTTTGAGCACACTTACAGGACTTTCTCTCCTCTAATAACCGACTAACAAGCCGAGGAACAAAGCGAAGTCATCCACCAGCAGCACCAATGGACACTTTGGTGCATGTGTGGCAGTTGGTGGCTGTCAATGCAGGAAGAAGATAAGTCAACGGTTAAAGCCAGTTCATCGCAGCTTTTTAAAATAACAAAGAGCTCAAAGCGAAAAACGTGTTTTCACAAATCCTTCTGAGGCTTACAGACACGCACACATTCTGTCATATTCACTCACCGGTGCCTGGTACTCACCTCAAACTCTGTCCGAGTGACTTGCTCAACCGGCATCAAGACGCAGAATATATGAACACTTTCCTTTCCGGTATGGAATTCAGATTAAAATCCCGACGTGACGAGCGTTAGCGAAGGCGTGCATTTACCACGACTAAAACATTTTATATTCAATACTGAGCACATTTTAATCAAATCATATTTAGAAAAATAGTATATTACAGCATGATACAGTAATTGGCTTATTTTTAACGCAATGCCACGCTTTTATTTTGAAGTCAACATTGATCGATTTCCGGTTATACTTTAATTTCTGGCAACTTGTCGCCATTTTTTTTCGAGAGAAGTTGTTGCGCCTGCGCTGTGAATCATGATTCATTCTGATGACAGCCTGAAGGAGGTTCGTCTTTTACCGTTATGATGCGCAGTACGCCCAACAACAGAAACAGGAACACATTAAATATAAATTAAACGTGCAGAAATGTATGTGTATGTGTAAAATCTGTTTCTGCAGGACACTGCAAAGGTATGCAAATATGCTGGAATAAATATTGTTTTTCTTTAATAGACTGACAGGGGTGGATATATACGGACATGCATATAATGTACATGTTGTAAAAAAAAAGTGTATTTTTAAACCATAAAATAAATATATTGTGTCATTTAGCTGCTGGTTACTGTTCATCAGACCCGTTAGAACCCGCTCTTGTGTGTGGTTGTTTCGAGGTACAGAGCTCTGTAGCGCCGACCAGAGGGGAGAAGATGAAACAGGTTGTGTGCAAGGTCTGAAGGCTCTTCAGTGGAGTTTCCTGCTCTTTTCCTGTTTCTCTATGTAACAGAGTTAAAAATGTACTTTATTATTCTGTTGAGTATGTGTGAATTCTATCTTTATGAGCTATTTTTATTTAGCATTTTATTTTGTTAATGCTTCCTGCGGAAGCGGCGTCTCGCCTCTTTTGTACCTCCAAAGCCCCCGTAGTCCCGACTTGCCCTCACAGTGGTGTTTCGTACTGTTGAGGGAGCGGATGTATAAAGAGAGTGAGAGCAGGAAGAAACTAATGTGGTTTATGTTGTCTTCTGCAACGAATAAATGCTGGAAAACTACCTTCTGAGTTGTCTCCTTCAATGCCATTCCAAGTCTGTTATATCCACACAAATAGATATTGAAAATGTAAGTTGTTATCTCAGCGAGGCTCAGTTTACTCTCCTTGGAGAACTAACATTGTTTCAACATCATCATTATCATCATCATAAAACAAATCTAAGTTAAATCAAAATAGGCCCTAGATAGATACAATTAAGTAGGCTATTGCCCACTTGTTGGGGAACTTTAAAGAATAAAAGGAAGGAAGAACAGAATGCATGATAAATGTAATTAATTAATTCAAGTAGAAGCTAGCCAAGAGCCCCAAAATGCTCCAGGATTACTAATTATAATCTGGGTTGTGCGAGAGTAATAACAAATGTGTTTGATATACCAATAAAGCACAGTATCCACTAGCATAAGTTAAGGTATAGGTCCTGCTTTACCTGATCTTGAGGCCGTGTCTTGAAGTACTTTTTTGCTGTCTGGCCCATATCCCTCAACATGTCCTGTAGCTCTGCTGATAACTCTCACCTGCCTGCACACCTGCTCCTCATTTCTCCTAATTAGTCACCAAGTATATGCACCAGGCCCATAACTCACACTCTTTGCCAGATGTCAGATCAGCTATTGTGCCTCATAGCCATAGAGGTCCAGCCTTTGTTTACTCTATCTGCCCAAATCTCCTCAGCCTGTTTACGTTATTTATCCGCCTTCCTGCTTCCTCTTTGGACATACCTGCCTTTGCTGCCTGCCTTTATATGTGTTTATCTGATCTATCTATCGAACTGTAGTTGGATATATTTATAAAGAAGATGGGATAAACAGTATTTTGTAACACCGGTAGGAAACATTAATTCCTTCCAGAATAGAAGGCTACTTGTTTATATAGTTTATCTAGCTGTTCAGATACTTGTCTTCCAATCGCACTCTATTCAGTAGCACGTTTAAGATTACCTTATCTCATGTAATTACATTTATTATCACTAATAGTATCACCTACTATTCCTGTAGTAGTGGTAGTAATACCTTCTATGTCATGGGATTGGAGAAGGTATGGTCAACAGTGACCCCTACTGGTGGTTTGCTGCTACTGAAGCCAGGACTTTCACCTGGAAAATATAATATTTATCATATAAATCCTTTCTTTCTCAATTTATTTTTATTTGGTTTAATTTTGCTATGATCTGTCTGAGTCACGTTTAATAAATTATACTGTTAAATAAAAAGCAACCTCCGCAGACTACGCAGATATGTTTCGGCATAGGTGATAACGTTGTTTTTGTGAGGGCGGCGGTTGGTGTTTGAACCTGTCAATCATCGAGAGGGTTGGCTGGATTTGTGCACCGCTGGCTCTCCGCGGTGTTGATAGGCTGGTTTTTTGTTGATATTCTGTCAGTCTGCAACTCAAAGGAGCTCGATCGATGCTGCTAGCATAAGAAAGCGTTGCTGCAGGACCCAACCAGGAAGTCAACAAAGTTGTAATTTAATATTAGCGTGACTTCGATATTCATCCATAAACATTGAACCGACGGGATGAGTTCTGCCGCCCCTCCGGTAAGCCGCAGACCACCGAGCTGCGTTTTGACACGACACTGCGCTGCACACGGATGTTAGCTTGCTAGCTTCTTTTAGCATCGCCATCGTTCCCCTTCGTGCTAATTGTTAGCCGCAATGCTAACGTCGTTTGTTGACAGCCCTCACTGTGCCACACAACAACAAAACTAGCGTTAGCTGTGTGTTAGCTTGTCATCTGTTGGTTTATTTGAAATAAATGTATCGGGGTAAATTAATGCATTTACCCCGATAGAGGCTAATTAACGGCTAAAAACTTTGCTAACAGATATGAACTTAGAATGAAAGAGTCTAACGGCGAATCTGCAGGTCGGCTCCAGTCAGATTAAAGGAAGGACAAATAAATATGTTGTAGCTTGTCCACGTTTAAACACGGACTGGTATTGGTAGATAGCATGCACATGAGTTGAAGGTTAAAAGCAACAATTAAGCATTCTCACCTGTACCTATTTAGAGCCCTTATAAGATTCTTATATTGTGTATTAATATTTCTTTGATAACAGCTGTTACTGCCAAATTGCAGATAAATAGATAGATGGTGTACTTCATTCATCCCACAGCTGAGGCAAAATACAGTGTAAATAAAAGTAGGAAATACAATAATAAGATGAGCATAGAAGCTATAGACCATAACCATCTTTAACTCTATATGCAAAGTAAATTATAGTGCCTCTGTGCAGCATACATTAGTAAGGGAAACGTAATGTTGCATGGTGTAAAGTAGTTCTATCAAAAATAGAAATAACTGGATACTGAATTTATGGATTTATTGGATTGTGGCATTGGCACCCCTACAAACTGCACATGGCTGATCAAACTAGGCAACAATAAAACTAGAATAGAGACCATAAGCAAAGTAAAAATAGGTCTAAAATGTGTGTTTTTAATGCATCTTAAACTGAGGACATCAGGAGCCAGACAAACTGTACCCCAGCAGCCATTGGTTGTGCATAACTTATAAGCGAAAACAAACAAACAAAGAGGTCAATCCTTTTTCAGGACGTGTCTTTTTTGACGAGTTTCTATTTTCTTGTTTTGCAGACGATTGGGGAGTTATTCCTCATCCTCGGTGAGATGGGCTTCCCAGAGGAGCAAATCCAGGCAGCTGTACAGGCCGGGCATTTCTCTGTGTCAGACGCAGCTGAGTGGTGAGTTTTTCCCCAGCTCTTTTCTTAAATAGCTAGCATTCATTTAAAATGCTAATATAATTTCCATTCAGTGTCTAAAAGACCAAGATGTTGTGTAAAATAATTATATATCCTTCTCTTATTTGTCGACAGGCTCTTGCAGGGTCAGTATCCACATCACAGGTTGGTCAAGCAGTCATCGCAGCCGGCTGAGACGGCAATTTCTGCTTTCAACCTACCCAAAGAGGCAGCGGGCACTTCAGAGACGCATACATCTCCTTCTGACAGCAGAGGTATAATACCAAGCAGGTTGCTTTTAACGATAGAGTCATATGGAAGTTAATTAACCATTGTAATATCTGTCATTGAAGTTTTCAATAGGACTTTAAGAAATTAATGGTTCAGGGAGCAAAATTAATTTTGTTTTAATCTTAAACAGCATCCCCTTCATTGTTGCTGAGACCCTCACAGTCAGGCAACCTGTCCCCAGACCCACTACCAGTTGAGTCGCGCATTAAACAGGACAAGAGTGACTTTGAAGAGCAGCAGAGGCAACGCGTTGCACATGAGGCTAGAACAGAGAGAAGACAAAAGAAACAGGTCAGCAGAACTTCTGGTGCCCGGACAGTGTTACCACACAGAATGTGAATGTCAGAACTGACCTCTTGCCGTGTGTGTGCGTGTGTGTGTGTGTGTGTGTGTGTGTGTGTGTGTGTGTGTGTGTGTGTGTGTGTGTGTGTGTGTGTGTGTGTGTGTGTATATTCGTTCAGGAGCGTGAGTCTGTTTTGAAGCGGATAGCTGAGGATCGGAGGAGTTTGCAGCAGAAGAAGCAGACCAGCGCTGCCACAGAGACGTCTCCTCCCAGTGCTCAAGGGGAGAAGCTTGGAGGACAGATTCAGACTAATGTGGACAACAACTGCGTCCTCATGGTGAGGAGATTTTTCATTTTTGATGTAGATACTGTCAAACAGAATTGTAAAACTTCATGCGTTTGTTTGTTTTTGCTGCAGATTCGTCTCCCATCTGGCGAGTCGATGCGTGAGCGCTTCCCAGCCGACGCCCCTCTGCGCAGCGTCATGGAGCACATCACCGGGCGTCACCCCTCCCTACCCTCCTTTTCTCTACTCCAGGGTTTTCCACGGAAGCGCTTCGGGGAGGCGGAGCTCGCTTGTTCGCTGCACTCTCTTGGCCTCACTCCCAACGCCGCACTGTGCATTCAGACCACTCCTCCCGAGACTCCTCAGGATCCACCGAGTCCCGCGAATCCGCCGTCAGTGGGACATATTGAGCCCTCTCCCTGTGATGCGTGTCCTCAGCCACACGTCCCGGTGCTGGAGGGGGCGGGAGGGCAGGACCTGGTTCTCCCTCCTCCACTACCCAACCAGCTGTGGGAGGAGGCGGTGAACTACGCAGGGATTCCTGGAGTTGGTCCTTCTCTGACTGGGCCATCTCACTTCTGGGGTAGGTATTAAATACTGTGTAAAAAAACAGATTTTAAGCTGGTTTGCTGCCCTAACTCACAAATTCATCAGAGCGTATTTGTTGTGTACAGTATTACTGTAGTAGCTTATGCAAAAACTGTTATTCAGATAGCTGTTTGGTCATTATTTGACATTCCTGGTGCTGTTCAACAGGCCGAGGCAACAGGATGGTTACTGGTAATGCCGAGGAAGCTGCGGGCATAGAAGTCGATGAGGAACAAGGAGATGAGGAAGATCCACCCTACATGCTTAACGGTACGGCACCTCATCCGTCCTTTGACCTACATTTTGCCTACTGTTGATTAAAGGTGTGGGATATAGAAATGGAACTTTTTTTTTTTTTTTTTTTTTTTTTTTTTTTTTTTTTTTTTTTT